CTCTCACACACACAGAATGTATATTCATGGATTCATTGTATGGGTTGGAATACATTATCATTATTTATTTTGATGCTAAAATTATCTCAGGGCAGTGGGATCTTCTTAAGCTTCTTCCTGTTTTCTTTTTTTTTTTTTTCATATTTTCATCAATCTTTGAGCAGTTTATTTAGCATAGGAAGATATTTAAAGCTTATCTTCTACTTTACCTGCCCCAGCCCTGAAATCATACATTTCTCAAAGAAGCCTTGTTCCTTTTTTTTCTTTTTTTTGGAGAGAGATATTTAGAATCACTAAATCACTAAATCACATAATCTAGACACTAGGTGTATCCGTTGCTTCTGGGGTATCGTTGCTTCTTGGCCCCTTCAGTAGAGGCAGGAAATATACGTATGTGTGTCCATATACACCTATTTCTGTACTTTTGTATGTATATGCATATGTCTGGGGTATAACATGAGTTATAGATTTTTTGATACCTATAATTCTGATCTAGTATCATAGTTTATTTTAAACTTCCCTTTTCATATTTGTGTACTTCCTTAATGGTGACAAGTCTAGCTTCCATTATCCTTAAGATATTTATTTGCTCAATCTTCAGGTACATAAATAGATTCAGTTTCTAACATACAGCTGTAAAAAAAACTAAAGTTTAGTATTTGTATGTAGTTCTTTTTGCCTTTAGTTTTAGAGCACATAGTAAAAAAGACTTTCTTAAAATACTTGGGTTACTTCTCTTTTTTGTGTAATTTTGTTATTCATTTAAAAAACTGACAGGTTTTGTTTATAATTAATTTTAGGTTTTCCCATCCTTGTTGATTTTACTTATAATTTACAGTAATTTTTGGAATATGAAATTATACTTATAGCAGTGAGCTAGAACTGAAAGAAAAGGAGTGCAGGGAGGAATTAATGAATGGCTGCTTCAGTAAGATTTAAAATTTACATGGTCTAATTGGTGAATTTTAATTACATGTACTTTGCATATATACCTGATACACGCTGTGCTCCACTTAACTTTTTTTCCCCCTGCTTAAATATTTTATCTTAGAGATTGTTCCATGTCAGTTCATAGAAATGTCTCATTCTTCTTAAGAGCAGCATGGTGCTCTGTTATATGGATGTATTGTATATACTAAGCTCTGCTGATGGGCATTTGGCAGTTCATTTTATTTATTTTTTTTAAAGATTCTATTTATTTGACAGAGACATTTATTTGAGCAAGAGAGGGAACACGAGCAGGGGAGTGGGAGAAGAAGCAGGCTTCCCGCTGAGCAGGGAGCCCCATGTGGGGCTAGGGGTTCATCCCAGGACCCAACGGCAGCTGCTTGACGACTGGGCCACCCATGTGCCCCAAGGTTGTTTGCGTCTTTCTACATATACTGCTGTGCATCTGTATGATTACATCAGATCACTTTTAAATTGAAGAGGAAATTACTAAATCCTGTTTTGGGGGGTTGGGACAGATTTGCAGTTTGATGTTGCAAAAGTTCTATATGTGATTAAGTTGATTTTAAAAATTCTTTGAGTTACAAATTACCAGTTTCTAAGTTATAATCTGATTGAAACATAAAACAGTATAACATTTAAAATATTTTGGTTTTTCAAACCAGTTACTACAGCAGTTCCCAGGAAAATTACCAGTTAGCTGTATGCATTACTAAATGCTATCATAGCTATTAAAAGTGGTAGTTTTTATTTAAATTTGTCACTTGTGGGATGAAGAAAAGGAAGTGCAAAGCTTTTACATTGTCTTAGAACAAAGTCAACTTTTTATTGTTTGCTATTCACCAGTCTATAAAGACTAAGTAAACCTAGCAGGATGTGTAAATGTACTATAGTTTGGGTGTGGATAGTAATAAAGCAAATGCACTATGTAAGACTGGAGAAAATATTTTACTCCAGAAAAATTATTATTTTAATTATTTTTTATTATTACCTAGAATAATATAGCCATCAAATACTTATTACATTATAGATGATCCATTCCTATTCTGTTTCTCCTGCTGGGTTTACATTTTCTTTTTATTGCTAAAATTTGGTTTCTATTTTTTCATAACTTATTACTACATGTAACGTTAGATCCAAATATTTACTTAACCTTTCGGACTTCCTTTTGTTTCCTTTCAAACTTTCCTGTTTGTCAGTCACTCTTCCAGAAGACCAGAAATACTGTTCTTCTAATATAGTCTGTAACACTGGGTTTTACATTTTTGACTGCCTCTTTGTACCCATGTTGTAATGGGTTTAGGGTTATAGGAAGGAAAAAAAAGTCATGTACCTTGTATGATGGGTATTTTTGTCCTCAAATAGCCTCATTATTGGTTTTTATATCTAGGACTCAAAGTCCTTTATGTGAGTTAATCATATTTAACTTTACAGATGATAAATTTATAAATAAGATTTAACTTTAAGCTCATGAGTAACTTCTGTGTTCCATTTTGCACAGTGCCTTGGTAACTAGCCAAGGAATTGATTATACCTCCTAGTAGTTCTTGTCATGTCAGGAGCTGGAAGAATGAGGCCTACTTTTTGACCAAACATAGCTCAGAAAGAATTGGTTTCAGTGGTTGTTAGGAAATTTTAGGGTGGGGGCGGCGGTGGGGGGAGGCAGCAGCAGAATTTCTTCGGGTAACAAAAGGTTGCACATAGATTCTATAACAGTGATAAAAATCAAAACAAATTGTTCAAATATGAAATTTACTGGGAGACTATATCTAAAGAAATTTTGTATGTGCTTTTTGATTATACCTGCTCTTTTTCTTATCTAGCAATATCATTTATAGAGTTGAATTTAATACATTTAGTTTTGTGGGTTTTTTAAAAGATTTTATTTATTCATTTGAGAGAGAATGAGAGGGCACAAGCGAGGGGAGCTGCAGAGGGAGAGGGAGTAGCAGGTTCCCCGCTGAGCAGGGAGCCGGATGTGGGGCTCGATCCCAGGACCCTGAGATGAAGGCAGTCACTTGACTGAGCAACCCAGGCATCGCGATACATTTGCTTTAAACAAAAGGTACTTAGTAAAGGATTTGATTTCTAAGCAAACATCAGAGCAGGAAAATGGAAGAAAAAATCGCCTTTGGTTTTTATATGTTCCTTTTTATAGTATATTCAAGGCTGTAGTATATTTAGAATTGATTATTTTTGTTTAATAGTAGAACAGTTGGGCGCCTGGGTGGCTCAGTGGGTTAAGCCGCTGCCTTCGGCTCAGGTCATGATCTCAGGGTTCTGGGATCGAGTCCCACATCGGGCTCTCTGCTCAGCAGGGAGCCTGCTTCCCCCCTCTCTCTCTCTGCCTGCCTCTGTCTACTGTGATCTCTCTCTGTCAAATAAATAAATAAAATCTCTAAAAAAAAAAAATAGTAGAACAGTAAATGACTACTAGTGTTTCTGGAAGATATGTTATTGTTATTTTTCTCAGTAGTGCTCTTTTTGGGATTCTCTCCTTCTTCGGGGAAGAGTTTGTAGTCTCCCCCCAGGTTGTGTGCGTTCCTTTTCATACAGATGCACCACTGTGGTGCAGAGCGTGTTGAATTTGGCAACAGAGGAAGACCTGTAACGAAGAAGGATGTATTTTGTTTTCATGACCTAGGCCAAATTTCCTGTCATACTTAAGCATTTTCTTGAGGGGTGTACTACAGTGGATAGGCATAGGTAATGAGTTTCACATTGTGGACTTTTTGCTCTCCTTCAGAATATGTGTAATTATTTTTGCAGTACTTAAATATGACAAAATTCAGTTAATAACTGTTGATTCTGTTAACATAGTAGAGGTTCACTGTGACTGTTACTAGCTTTGAGTTGAAACAGATCTTTCTCCCCACAGAAATATCATGGTCCTGTCTCTTAAGGATGTTGTGAACTGCAGTTAGGACCCTTTTGTTAAAAAACCTTTTTTGCTGCTGATGCTTATTACAAAACTTTTTTTTTTTTTTTCCAGGAAATTTTCAAGAGGGGAAATAACCACATTAGCTTGTTCCTCCTGAGGAACAAATAAGAATAGTTAAGAGCATGTATAATCACTCTGCATCAAGTAGCAAACTTTCTGTATATTAAATATAGTTTACTTTTGTTGGTATTAGTAAATTATTTCCTGCAAATTTATAGTTACTTCAGTTTTATGGGAATATGGGAATTTATTGTCTGTTTCATAAGCACTGCTCTAATTTACAAAGAATATTGACCTGAATTGCTTAGTTCCTATTTCAGGTGACTTCCCTAAGTACAAAACCCTTTCTCTTGTTTGTAATTTAGATCTATTATAATTTTAAAAAACCTTTAAAAATAGATATGCAACCTAATTAAAATAACAAGGGTGAACTTGATATAATGGCAGTTAAAGTGGGGGGGTTAAATGTTTATAGGTAATATCAGCAATTCTGGATTCCTGTCTTATTTAATATGCTTAAAAACTCCTGGAGCTTTGGGGCGCCTGAGTGGCTCAGTGGGTTAAAGCCTCTGCCTTCAGCTCAGGTCATGATCCCAGGGTCCTGGGATGGAGCCCCACATTGGGCTCTCTGCTCAGCGGGGAGCCTGCTTCCCTTCCTCTCTCTGCCTGCCTCTCTACTTGTAATCTCTGTCAAATAAAATAAAATCTTTAAAAAACAACAACAACAAAAAACTCCTGGAGCTTTGACCAGAGGTTGATGATGGTAAACCTAATTGTCATATTCCCAAATCAAACTTGTAATTATTTTCCTTTTATGCAGTTGTTGGCATGTTTCTTTGAATGTAACATTAGTTGAAAATTATAAAAACAAAATAAATTTGCTAAATTACATCAATGGACCTAACATAATACAGCTATTCTGTGTGTGAAGGAATCTTATCAAAAGGACACTGTTGGGGCGCCTGGTTGGCTCAGTTGGTAGAGCAGGTGACTCTTGATCTCAGGATTATGAATTTGAGCCCCATATTGGGTATAGAGATTATTTAAGAATAAAATCTTAAAAAGAAGTAGATGCTCTTTAATTTTCTTTCTCACCCTTTTGTTTTCAAAGAGAAACTGGTAGTCCTGGTAGATTCAAGGCATCTTTAAGAGAAAATGTCTTGGGGAGCCCCAAGGAACTGATGAAGTTAAGTGTGCCATCATTAGTGTATGCTGTTCAGAACAATATGGCTTTCCTAGCTCTTAGCAATCTGGATGCAGCAGTATACCAGGTAAGTGGAGGTAAAGGACAACGAAAAGTGTAGAATCTTAAAAAGTTTTTACGGTTAAAGATTTTTATTAATGCTTTATCACTTTAAATTTTATCTCCATAATTCTGTTAATATCAAGTATTTGTGTCAGAGACTGTTAACATGTTCATCAATTCATTGTTTTGTTTCTAGGTGACCTATCAGTTGAAGATTCCCTGCACTGCTTTATGTACTGTTTTAATGTTAAACCGGACACTCAGCAAATTACAGTGGATTTCAGTTTTTATGCTGTGTGGTGGAGTCATACTTGTACAGTGGGAACCAGCCCAGGCTACAAAAGTTGTGGTAAGAAACAAAATGCTCCCCATAACTAAACTAGCAGACTTCTTTAATAAGTCTTGTAACGCTTTAGACAGTCACATTGATGAATGTAGCACAATTACATTTCTTTGACTGAAAATAACCTTTGCCCTACAGATAGGCTTTTATTTTTACTCCCTTATGATAATGAAAGATAATATGACTCATTGGTCTTCTCTGCCCCCTTTAGTCTTCTGGAGGGGAATATGCATAAAATATGTTAGAGATGCAAGATACCTTAATATAACCAACCCCCTTTGTTTTATGGGGACAAAATTGAAGTCCAGAGAAGTAAAGTAACTTGTCCAAAGTTACACACTGAACAGCTAACCTGTGACTAGACTTGTGCCAGTTTCCATAGTTTGTGTGTTCAGAACTCACAGGCCTCTTTTAGACATCTTGTAAAGAATGCTGAGCAAGGTTTTCTCTATCTAATTTTCATCTCTTCCCTCAACTCAAGTTTTGTTTGTTTGTTTTTTTTTTTAATCTTTTTGTACATACTCCCACTGTCAGTGGTAGGGATTATGGCGTAGTAGAGTTTTTACTGATAATCAGTAACTAAAATAGGGCCAAAAGTGCCTTCCTAATTTTCAGTTTAAGAGTTAAATGTTAAGTTACATACCTGATCTCTTTTTAAAGTGTAACATACTTTATAGATTATTTTCCCAGAGAAAATTAGGAAGTGGAACTCCAGTGAATAACCTTTTTGGAGTTTCCCTCTACAGCCAAATACTCTTTACCTTTTAGCAAATAAAAGACCACAGTTCTCCTGTACATATAAGGAGACTGGGGAGGAACAGAGAGCTTGTGCAAGTAGGAAGTCTAAAGCCTAAAACTAGGTGGAGGTCCCCCTTCTCACCCCAGAAAATGAGGTTTAGATGAGTATTTATTATTTTGACATGATATTTAAACATGCATATATTCTTGGTGGTATTTCAAGATAGTGACCAAATATTCACCGCACATTTAATTCAGTTTTAGACCCTCAGAGAAATAATTTATTGGGAAGTAAGGCAAACAGAAGTTTAATATGAACTTTAACATTTCACACCATTAGAAAAGATGTTAGGTCTATGCCATACAGCTAACACATGTGAAAAGCTCAGTAAGCTAAAGCAGAGTATAGGGCAGCTTTCCTACTTTTGGATCACTATAGAAAGTTCTTTCATATTTTAAGCGAAGTGTAGTTTTTTGCCTTATTGTTTTTTATTCTTTTCAGAATAATTCAAATCCCTTTTAGCTCCATATGATGCTCCTTTGAATGTTTGAGGACATTGTCATACCACCACTGTCCAAGTCTTTTTTCCCTCCCCATTGAGGCAGCTATGTTTTTTTGCTTAAGATTTTATTTATTTGAGAGAGAGAGCACATGAGGAGAGGCAGAGGGAGAAGAGCAGGGAGTCCGACACTCAACGGACTGAGCCACCCAGTTGCCCGTTTCTTTCTGTAATAGTTTCTAAAGATTTCTTGATCCTTGGCTTGCCTCAGTACTTACCTTGTATTTCTCTTCTAGGTGCATTCATTTGTTTTTGTTCCTCAGTAGTTTTAAAACTTCCCACTGTCTCTAGATGTTGACTGAACAGCGTGAGGTATAACTTGTGAAGTCCTTCCTTTGTTCTGAATACTAGAGACTTGTTAAATTAGCCTGTAGGTTTTGCGGAGAGGATAGCCATTCTGTAACTGACTATACACAAAGTTGTTTCACACACATTTAGTTTATTGCTAATGTGTTATGTGCAGTGGGCTTCTAAATCAAAATGCAGGATATTTTTAACTCATTGTTAGTTTTGGTTCAGTGTTCAGGTCTTTGAGGTCTTTCCAGACTTTATTATCCATTATTAGGTTTTTTGCATGTTATGTGTTCTACAGATTTGAGAAATGTGTCTTTAGGTCTTCTCTGAAAATTTAGGACAGGACAAGAGTTCTGTGGCTATACTTTTAGATCTCTCTTTAGCTGGACTTTTTTCCCTCTTGCTTAATAAATCTTTCCTCTCATAGTTTTTAAAGGGCCTGCCAGGAATTTGAGGGTGCATTAGTTGAGGCTGTTCTGGCTTGAGGTCTCTTAAAGGTTATAATCAAGATACTGGCTAGAGGTGCCGTCAACTAAGACCCAAGTGTGCCTGGCGGATATTTCTAAGGTAGCTCATTCATGTACCTGGTAAGCTGGTATTGGTTGTTGGTCTAGCTTGATTTTATTCTGTTAGCACTTTGCTGTATGAGAATTCACTCAACTCTAAATAGACTTGTACTGCTACTCTCACTACATTTGTCTTGTTCACAAAAATACTGTGTAAACCTGTCAGATTTCTTGCAAAACACTGTCTTTATGGAATCCCCTCATCACTTACACTAACCAGGAATCCCTTCATAAGGAAATTTGGTATGTCTCAGTTTTAGGGAAGCCATATTGTGTTCCAGTGGTGGCCATTAAACATTTTTTTAGAGAGAGCGCATGCATGCAGTGAGGGGTGCAGGAGAGAGAGAATCTTAAGCAGGCTCCACACGGGGTTCAATCTCACCACACTGAGATCATGATCTAAGCCGAAATCAAGAGTCGGACACTTAACTGACTGAGCCCCCAGGCATCCTCATTAAACTTAAGTCATCTGTTCTAGCATTTTGTTGGTAATCTACAGTAGCAGTAACAGCTGCAGTCACTTATTACCAAGCTTTCTCTCTCATTTAACATAAAGTGATACTCTCCTATATTCTGAATAAGGTATGTTCTTGTCATAGTATAGTCATGTATCTCAGCTCTTTAGTTTCAGTGTTACTATTGAGATAGTATTTATTTCTGAGGAAAGACTGATGAAAGCCTGAGGATTAGTTTAGGGAAGAAAGAGGAAATAAAGTTGAAATAAGTTAGGGCACATACACATGTATCTTTTAGCACAGAATTATGATTATATTCACTTGTCAATTTCTCCTATCCATGAACTACTTAAGAACCATAACTGTGTATCTTCATTTTTTTTCTTTCTTTTTTTTTTTTGAGAGAGAGAGAGAACACAAATAGAGGGAGCTGCAGGCAGAAGGAGAATCAGGCTCCCTGCTGATGGGGGAACTCCAGCCTAGGACCCTGGGATCACCACCCAAGCCAAAGGCAGACATTTAACCAACTGGGTCACCCAGGTGTCCCTATCATCTTCCCTTTTTTTTTTTTTTAAAAAATTAAGATTTTTTTATTTATTTGTTTGACAGAGATCACAAGTAGGCAGAGAGGTAGGCGGAGAGAGAGAGAAGGGGAAGCAGGCTCCATGCTGAGCAGAGAGCCCAATGTGGGGCTCGATCCCAGGACTCTGGGATCATAATCTGAGCCAAAAGCAGAGGCTTTAAACCACTGAGCCACTCAGGCGCCCCTATTATCTTCCTTTTTATTCATTTAGTATATAAGAAGTATATCTAGTACAAAGCAAGTAAGGTGTTATCATTTGATAAAAATTCAGTAAAGTAGGAAAGCTTAAAAGTCGTTATGTCATCCTATTATGGATGTAATGTGTTAGGGAATAAATGAGGTAAACTGTTATCATTTCCATGGTTGATGCTATCAGGGCCCTGAGGGTGGTGGCAGAAGTTAAAATTAAGTGACAGACTGACTATGCAAAATGCTGTGCTAGGGTACTTATTGTTGTTAGGAAACAGGCACATGTGTTCTGGTAAGTATTCACCATGGCTACAGTTTGGGGGACACATTTTGTATCTTAAGTGCTTTGGTTAATCTCTGGGATGGCCTTCTGTTTCTGTTTTATTCTATAGGATAGCTGTGTCTGATGTGGCATATCCTTTCCAGAGAAACATAACACAGATTTTTGTAGTCATTTGTTTACTCTCTTAGATGAATTCTATTTGTTAGTCACTAATAACTTTCAAAACATTATTATTGCAGGTGGAACAGAATCCCTTATTAGGGTTTGGTGCTGTAGCTATTGCTGTATTGTGCTCAGGATTTGCAGGTAAATCATAAATGTATTGTTTTAGTCTGTTAAAATTTTTAAAAAACATTAAACTCTAAATAGGGATCTAGTTTATCTTATTTCATTGTAACAATTTTATTCCCATAGGCTTATTCTCCTACTTACTGAGTTTTGTGCCAGTTGTTACTTACTTTCAGGAAATATATGGAATGGCAGTGTTTCAGTTCAGACCTCAGCCTGTTTTCATACTTAGTTACCTAAGAATATACGTCATGCTTACCATCCTCGGTCCAGCTAAGAACCCAAAAGTAAATGAACAGAAACCTCTGAAAATGGAGGAAGTTAGCAGTGAGAAAGCTTAAGTACCTCTTTCCATTTTCCTGGAAGTGGCACTTTCTTCAGGCAAGATTCCTTAAAGAGTATATGTTACCAGCTCAGTATCTGATTCTCCCTGTTAACCTCAAGTTCTTCCTCTGCTTTAACAGATTAGGAATTACGGAGTAGGGAGAAAAGGGGGACTGGGGTGGAGAACACCTCAGAAAAATTAACACATACAAGTAACAGCCAAAAAGGAAGGGAGGAGACCAGAGTCACTAACATCAAATAAACATGAGAGTCTCTAGAGTCTTTTATGTGTAGGGACAAGAAATCCTTCACTTAACCAAGAGACAAGGTATGAATGGCAAGTGCAATATGTGTTTTTAGAAATAGTTCTAACAGAGAAAAGCCTGAAAGTTCTTTTTTTAAAAAATTTTTAAGATTTTATTTAGTTGACACAGAGAGACGGCACACAAGCAGGGAAGTGGGAGAGGGAGAAGCAGGCTTCCACTGAGCAGGGAGCTGAATGCAATGGAGGGCTCGATCCCAGGACCCTGGGATCATGACCTGAGGCGAATGCAGCCACTCAAGTGACTGAGCCACTCAGGTGCCCCCGAAAGTTCTTTTTAATAAAGAGTGTATTAGTTATAGCTGTGTTTTTATTATTAATCTTTATTTGGGCTATTTCAAGAGTTAGGATTCTTTTTACTAGAAAGTAGGCAGGATATGGAAGTGAAATATTGCTCTACGTGTGATAAGGGAAAAAAAACCAAGTTCAAGAATATATTTAATGATAGCGTCATGCTAAATTTGTATTCTAGGAACCAGCAAATTAGAAACAAAAACTGAGTTACCCAAAAAATACGCTACTAGACTTTTGGCACTACTCTGAATAAATAAATGTTTGTTCCAGCATTCTCTTTAGTTCAACCTTTCAATACACAACTTAGGAAATGGTGGGTGGTTTAATATTCCTTTATGCTTGGAATAACTAAGCACGTAATTGTTAAGTGGGTTTCCCAGATAGAATATTAAAACATGGGAATAGGAATAGCCATTATATGTTTGTTCCCATTTTCTGGCTTTGTTTAACACACATTTATCAAAAAACAATCTTGTTTTTCATTAGAATTTTTAGTTATTATTTGGCAGTTTTTAAGTCTGTAATTAACATGGTATTTTTAATGAAAATCTTTGATGTCCCCATATACCCCCTAAGTATAAAACTTAAGAGCAGTGGTATGTGATTTGGGATATAAGTGGTGAGGAGTCATTTGCTCTTTTGGAGTATCTGGAAAACACTATGGAACCTCAACCCCAAGAAAATGTATGGAGACACAAAATGTTATTACTTAGGGAGTTTATGGTCCTTCTGACATTGTGTATGAACTTGGCTTGTGGAACCGTACTTTAAAGGAAAATGGCTTCACTCAGCAAGTTTTATTTAAATTTTATTTTGGTTGTGTTACTCTGAAAAAGTCCCAAGTGGTGATTATATAGGTTATTTTGCAGAGCTGGGAGTTTTCATTACTGGGCAGATATTACAGGGATGTGATTAAGATAATTGACTCTAATAGTATAGTTTTCCAGCTGACCAGAGCAGGTCTATTATTGGCATTAACAGAGAGCTGCTGTGATCTTTCTTACTGCTATAATAAAGGCAGAAACTGTTCTTAACAATAATTTGAGTCTCCTGTTAAATGTGGGTTGGAGAGTTTCCTTAGTTATTAAATTTATATGCTCTATAAAAATATACATTGCTAATGTTTTATATGCCACATCACAACCAACAAAATAAATATGCATTTGATGTTTGTTCTCTGAATCACATACTTTATATTATCATACCTGTGTTACTGTTATTGTTCTAAATGAGAGGCATTTTAAATTAATTTTTAGTAGTATCTTTCATATTTGCCTATCTTTTTTTTCAGGAGTATATTTTGAAAAAGTATTAAAGAGTTCAGATACTTCCCTTTGGGTGAGAAACATTCAGATGTATCTATCAGGGATTGTTGTGACATTAGTTGGCGTCTACTTGTCAGATGGAGCTGAAATTAACGAAAAAGGATTTTTCTATGGTTACACATATTATGTCTGGTTTGTCATTTGTAAGTATCCAGGAATTAAAAGTTCTGGGTAGTCCTTTTTTCAGAAAAAGTTGTTTTAAGCCTTTATAGCATTTTGAAATTATTCCTCTGGTACTGTGAACACCGGTTTGAAAATGTAATTTTGGTTTTATTGACTGACTTTTGTGGCATAGCTATCCCAAAGCAATTTTGCTTTCACAATCAGAAGTATCTAATGTGTTAGCAATAAATGTGTACAATTTAGTAGTAGACCCCATAGCCCTCTGGGCATGTGAAAAACAATGTTATTTTGTAGGAACTATTACTCGATTTTAGTACAAACTCTCTCAGATGGCTACTTGCAAGGAAAATAGTATTTTCCTAGGTAAATTAGTATGACATCTCTGGGGGTGAAAATTGCTTCACCATCATAGAATGTTTCATTATTTGAGTGTTAAGATTTTATTTCTTTGTGTATACAAGTTCTTGCAAGTGTTGGAGGCCTCTACACTTCTGTTGTGGTCAAGTACACAGACAACATCATGAAGGGCTTTTCTGCAGCAGCCGCCATTGTCCTTTCTACTATTGCTTCAGTGATGCTGTTTGGGTTACAGATAAGTATGTCTTCGTTTGTATTTGAAGTTTTTAACGTAGAAGAGCTTCCCACTTGTTGATTCACTTCATCTATTCTTAAATATGGCAGTTGGTCATATAGTCTTTGTTTAGTTTCTAGTTGTATGGGACGTGGGTCAGCAGTACTAAGGTAGTTGCAGCGGTCCGCGAGCTTATGCTGGGGTGGGTGCTGTTTCTGCTGAAAGTGAGAGGGCTACGGAGGAGTTCTTTCGTAGTCAGAAGCTCCCCATTTCCCAGGTTTGAGATCCAAGACAGCTTCAGTACTTCTTACTTTCGGGTGAATACAGTGTGGTTAGGTATGCAGGAAAATGAGTACAAGGACTTCACTGTCACTGCACTACTGCGAGGAATCATTCCCCAAACAAGGCTCTCCATGATAAAGAAAACTCTCCATGAGTTTGTACCCTCCTAACTTTTGGACTTGGGTATAAATTAGTTTGAAGCAAATTCCAAATCTTAATTAAAAATATCTTTGTTTCATTTAATATGTAATTAATACAAATTTCATTACTGTAGCTGGCCTTCTGGCACCCTCACTGCGCTAGTCCTTCTAGTATATATTCTTATAGCCTGCACCCAGCATTAAGTTGGCTTCTGAATTGTTTAGGCAGTGATGTTGATTTAACATTCCATGGTGCCGTAATAATCATTTTCTTTACTGATCACTTATACTCAGTCTGTTAAATATTGATGTTAAAAGAAACCTGACCTATATTTATGTTTGATTTTAAAATTCATTCTTGATATAAATGCAAATAGAGGAATGCCAAGCTTGTAATCTTAAAAAACCATCTTATGGTACGGTTTACATCCTGCCTATACCATTTTTTAGTTGTGTAGCCTTGAGGAAGTTACTGAGCCTGTGGCTTAGTTTCTTCATCTGTACAACGGGACCGGCAGTCTGCTAGGGTTGTTTCAGATGAAGTGCTTAGAATGGTGCGTGGCAATAGTAAGTATTCTGTAGGAGGCCGGCCACTTACCATTGCAGTATCAGTATTCATAGGTCCTTTTGTAGATGTATTTCTCCCCTGACCTGGGTGAACTTTTAACTGTAGTTTTGATCCTTCCTTAGCTCAACAAATCGTTATGCTTTCAGTCAGCGTCCTTACTGATGGTCAGGGAGATTAACTAGAACATCTTAGCAGTCTTCCTTTATTTATTTATTTTTTTAAGATTTTACTTATTCTGGGGTGCTGGGTGGCTCAGTCATTCAGCATTTGCCTTATGGCTCAGGTCATGATCCCAGGGTCCTGGGATCAAGCCCGCATCAGGCTCCCTGCTCAGCAGGAAGCCTGTTCTTCCCCTCCCCTACTCCCCTTGTGTTCTCTCTCTGGCTGTGTCTGTCAAATAAATAAATTTTTTTTTTTTTTGGAAGATTTTATTTAACTGGACAGAGAACAAGCACAAGCAGGCGGAGTGGTAGTCAGAGGGAGAGGGAGAAGCAGGCTCCCCGGTGAGCAGTGTCCGACATTTTATACATAAAATGCTTACTTGTCAAGTTTTAGACAAGCTGTAATTTCTTATGTCCTGATTTTCAGGATTAGGAATTTTAAAAAAAAGCTAACAGAAAATGGAATTGTACTCAGTAAATCACCACCTCATCTCTTATTCAGAGATCTTCACTGGTTTGAGTCATTGGTTATTTAACCTGGAATTCTGCACAACCACCTTTAACTCTAAACTTCTGCAGGTTTTTAGTACCACAGAAAAGCCATATTCCATTGCTTTTCTTTAAATTAGCATATAGAGAAGTTAGTACAGTCTTTGTCAGTGGTCCAGGACAGGCATACCTGTGTTCTTGAAAAGCATGTAGTCAGTCCCTTGATTGTACCTTTTTTGGGGGGTTAGATAGGGGTGAGGGTGGAGGAAGGATGGCTTGAGGGATGGGTAGCTAGAGTTGATTATCTTTCTAAACCTTACCGTCATAAAAATAGAACACTTAGATCTATTTCCCATATGATCTAATGCTACAGACCTATAATTGAAAGATTTCAAAATTTAAAATTGATTATCGTTATATAATCTTAAGGACACAAATACATAGTAAGCCTTTTTTTCCCATTCTTTTCAGCACTCACCTTTGCCCTGGGCACTCTTCTTGTATGTGTTTCTATATATCTCTATGGATTACCCAGACAAGACACTACATCCATCCAACAAGGAGAAATAGCTTCAAAAGAGAGAGTTGGTGGTACGTGATTTCAGCCTCAAAAGAGATTCCTACCAAGACTAAAGAAACTATCTGCATTAAACTAGAGCCTTAAGTCAATCCCAGAAGGTAGCTTAAACAAAAAAACAATATGTTAACCGTGTCATAAGAATTAAGAGGAAAACTATTTGAGTGAATTGCTACAAAGACTTAATATGGCCTGTTTTGGGTCAAGCTGTTTTGTTTTAGAATGAAAGAATTTTATTATTGTACATATAATGTATATAAAAAGTATGGAGAGGTGTGGTGTTTAAAAAAAAAAATCACGTGAGGATACAATATTCAAGTAACAAGGTTTGGGACAAGGTTAAAGGTTCAAGTGCCAAAGCCATTTCTGTACGAACTGTTTTCTTGTTCTGGTACCAGGGGAGAAGGACGATTCCCTTCTTGATCTCCAGTTCATGTACAGTATTTCATCCCAGCAGCAGTAATGACCTAGCTCTTTTCTTACAAAAGACAGGCAAAACCAAGATAGGCTAGTTCAGAAGCAAACTGAATGTGTAACTTCTCAAACTGAATCTATTTCATAATGCGGACAATGACTTCTAGGTGGTGAATGAGTACTCCTGTAAGTGCTGTATTTGTGCCATTCATTGTCTGGATTCCTGTTTCTTTGCGGTTAGATGATCTACTTTTCTTCAAAAAATATTTCTAATGTCACTTTTGTACTTTTTTTTATACAGTATGTTTAAAACTATTGGGCTGTCAATTTGTGAAATTTCAGTGTTTTTAAAAAATTTTCTATAATATTAATGGGAAAATTCAGCAATAAACTTAATTTATTTATATGAAATCTGTATCACTTTTTGTATTGTGATTATAACCATTAAGATAATACAAAATGTAAAACAACCAAAAATATTAAGTTTTTCATTTTTTCTGTGTTGGAATTTTAGGGTTCTTTGGTTGCATATAAACCAACTCTGGGCTGGCCTTCATCAGCGAAAACCAGAGTTTATAAGGACGGCAATCGGGGCAGTAGGGCTCTAGGCTGCAGGAGATAATGTACAGTCTTTTCAGGGAGCTGCTTCTGCAGACACTAGGCCCTAATTTTCATTGTCCCTATGTCATTTCACTCAAGATTCAGAGGGGTGAATTCAAATGAGGTGGCTACCACAGATCTGGGATATGATCTCCAAACAAGTGGAGAAGGATACAGGACATGAAAAACATGTCCCAATTGTACATTTTTATTCCGTGGCTGGTTTGTGCTAAGGAAATAATGATACTTTGAGTAAAAATTAGTAATCTGGAAGCTACATATTTAAAATTGAGACTGCGTGGATGAGTTTTCTAGGACTAAGAAGGTGTACCACACTTGCCAATATAAAACTATCTTCATTCACCTACAGAAGTGTTGGTTCATGATAATTTCCTTCTCTATTCGTAAAAGTAGATTGTCACTAATATTCAGAAGACTTCTAGTAGCAGCATTTACGATAAATGATAGCAGTCTGGATGGAAATACTGGCAGATGAGGATGGCCATACTGACTGAACAGACCGCATCAACTTATGTTACCTGAACAAATCACACAAAATATCCTTGGCCAATATGCAGGTACACGAAAGAAGTGGCTTAAGAAATTCCATTTCAAATTATGGTTTAACTGATGGGACAAATTTTTATAAAAAGATCCTAGTACAATATATGTACAAGTAATTCCTTGTCATTCAAATCTATTCCATTCCCAAGTTCATGTAAGAGTTACCTGTACAGATCAATGAAAGAAAAGTATGAGATCTGTTCTCTGGGAGTGGCTGTCAGCTGTATAGGCAAAAAGGCTTAATTCTGGTCTCCCTAAATTGATTCAGAGCCAGCCATTATTATAAGAAAACTGAAATTGCTTTTATCAATTTTATCTGATGCAAACATGAGATAATCTCACTTATAAGAACAGTTTCTGGAAGAATGATGCTGTGAAAACCTCAAGCTGGAGCTTAAAATCTAATCTTTTATCCCCAATAGACTGCAATGAATTTTAAAAGTTTTGAGTTAGTTTTATAAAACTGTTTCGTACTTACTGATCAGGAGGGAACTCAAATGATTTTTTTTTTTAGATAAAAGAGTTAGTAAGTTGATAAATCACTTAGGCTTACTAAAATATAGATTCTGATACAGAATAACAGTTTAAATTCTAAACAAGGCATATAAGAATAGATAACTAGAATTCACTTCATATTTAGAAAGCTATTTTAATTAGAAATTACATCCTACATACAGGTATTATTCCAAGAAGTTTCATTCCATTGGCTAGGACAGAACGCACAGCTCTGAAAAGATGAAGTCTGGCCTAAGAAATAAAACAAAGAATGATTAAATTCACTAACAGGCTAATTATAAGTGAATAAAGAACATTTTCAAAAGTAATTTTAACTTTCTTCTAATTTAAAGTAGGAACAGTATCTCAGAGTGCTTCCGGGTTTGCTGTTGGCGAGGAAAGACAAATTCCTAGCATCCCTTATAATATGACTGGTACCCAAGAGCTGGGGAGTGAGAGTGACAGGATCATTCATTATCTTATTCAAAGTATAACTTCAGATAAGGGGAACTCTTCACTTGAACACTTGACCTAGGAAGATGTGTTTCATAGTCCAGTGTTGGAAAGTATATAAACTGATTGTTTCAGTCCAATTCTAATTACCACTTGAGTCCATAAGAACACTACTGTAGCCGAACCACAAGATGCTATTTTAGGAACACTTACAAAATTGACTCAGTAATATTAAGAGGATGTAGAGTTTACACAGAAAACACTTGACATACCCCAGCCACTTCGGGAGGACTGTCTTTTATAAGCAGTGTCTTGTGTGCCATAGCTGCAAGATGACTGAAATGGAAGACAGACCAGAGAAGATGAAAATGAAGACCAGCAGTAATTTCCTGTTATAACACATAAGCTTGGTATCTTACTCCCTCAACTTAAGGAAATCAAAGCCCAGGGCCAGTAAAGGATGTGTGCAACACTGAAAGTTGAGACTTGAATTCATCTGCTTTTCTATAACAGGAAAAGTAAAACACATTAAACTACAACTTTAGATTTTGGTCGTAATACCTCAAGAATTTAAGATTAGGATTTCACTCCTTCATAAAGATAGGGGATTCCTTCCTAAAAATTAGTTTTTCTCATTCAGGGATCTTTTAGGATGAAAGCTATAACATGGCATGGACATTCCCCCTCTGTACGGTGAGGAGGAAGGGTAAAGATTAGTTATTGGGCAGCTGCACACACACTGGCCCCTCTTCTCTAAAGTATCTTCTATTTAGGCAGAAGCAGCAAATAGAATAATATGCCAGAGAAATGATGCTTCCAACATTCACTTCAATGATTAACAGACCTTTAATTAGACTTTCTGGCTTCTTTATTTCTCTGTGACTACAGAGTTTAAAGGAAAAAAAATATTTAAATCTGGGGAAGACAGGTAAAAAGGATAATCAAGAAAACAGTACCAATAAATCTGATTTCAGTAAATCTTGAGTAAAAGCAAGTATTTCCTTAAATAGGTTTATGGAAAGATACAAACATTGCTCTAGAAAATACCTTATAGTCAGAGCTTCTGAAACAGCTAGTATGAAATTCCTATTAAACTGATTTGCCCTCCAATTCATCCTTTACCCTTCTAGCTCACCGATTTTTCTGTGTCTCTATTCAAAGTCTTTTTATGGACTCCAATGCCCTGAAAATAAGCTGAAATGCCTTAATACATGCAAAAGGCCTTTATACACTCATTTCTCACCCTTCCCAGGACCATGCGTCTAGTTCCATTAACGTAGCATGAGCAAATCTGGGCTTTTTCTTCCTTTTCTGCCACCTTGCTTCTCCTGATTAATACTGATGCCTCTTCTCCGAGAAGCCCCTTCTCCTCCATCAAGGCTACACTGAGTGCCCGAACATAGTCTCTTAGGTCCACTCTATCCTAACACATATGTGCTGTTATGTAACTACCTGTGACAAAGCTGTTGGTTCCACCGGACTGTAATGACTGCACCTTGTATCACTCAACGAATAAATATTAACTGCTGATTTGCAAAGATGAAGCAAGAATTCCTGTAACTTAAGGCATTTCACTTTTTAGGCCAAGGGGTTTGTTTATAGGAAAACTTTAGAAGAAAGAAAAGTCCTTTGTCAGATCAGGTCTCCCATGTCTTCAATACCTGAAAACAGCAAGGTTATGAAGTACCTTAGAGTTAGAAGATAACTGACAATGTGCCTGGGTTGAAGGTCCTGAGATGATCTATAAAGCACCTCGTCAAACCTAAAAGAAACACAACAGGAGCAGTGGGCAAGGGAAGACTAAGACTACTAAGCTAAGATGTTAAGATCTTCAATGTAAGGTTGACTGATCATCAGTAAGAGTAGAAGGTATGGGGGGCCTGGGTGTCTCGGTTGGTTGAGCATCTGACTCTTGGTTTCAGCTCAGGTCATGATCTTCGGGTGGTGAGACCGTGCCCTGTATCAGGTTCCATGCCCAGCATGGAGCCTGTTTAAGTTTCTCTCTCTCTCCCTCTGCCCCTATGTGTGCTCTTGCTCTCTCTAAAAGAAGAGTAGAAGGTACATGAAAAAAGACCTTGTGTGCGTTTGAAGGTAAAGGCACATCTTTCTTACAAATCCCTTGATGGCAGGTACTTTCTAAATCATTTTGATATCTCTTGGGCCTAGCCTAGATCAATGACTCAGGCTATTAAATTGAACGTATAAAGCTTACAGCCATGTTAGGAACATAATATAGAAACTAGCAAAACAGAAACTAGCAAAACAGAGTCTACCTTCAACGCCAAGAAAACCAGGTTGGCTTATTTTCTAACAAATCAGTCAAATGTGAGAAAACGGACCCCTCTGATCCCAGAAGGGAGCCGCTGACCACTGTGTGGCGATCAGAGAAAAGTGCCTTGCTAACTACCCACATCCTTTCCAGAGATTAGTATCTCCTGACAAGTCTAGCTTCACCAACAATGCTTGTAAGAGCTTAAAGGCGTGATCTCTTGCTCAGTGTCGGGGCACTAAGTAGGTATGTATTTGAGACTGTCAACGGAAACCATGAGGCAGATGAGGAACTCAACAGTTTCATGGAAGCCGCACGCAGGCAGAGGTTTCCTTCACTTGTCCAAGAGGGGGAGGAAGATGATCCTTCCCAAAACTAAAAGTTGATGCTTTTATCAGGTTTCCATTCTCATTCCATGACCCAGAGGATGTCAGGCACCTGCAGTGATTCAGCAGTGATATTTTTAAGTCCCAAGGATTGACCTTGATGGTGTCCTCCTTTGTCTTCCCTCAAAGGGCAGGTACTGGTGGCAGGGGGGCAGGAGCTAGCTACCGGCTTGTTCACGTCAGTGGTCAGCAAACCATCAACAGTCATTTCACTAAGCAGGTGCAGACTCAATAAGACTAGAAAATCCTACCTGAGAAGATGCTGGAGAATGGAAACAGACTGTGGCTCTTGTAAACAAGCAGTGTTGAAATCATTTAGATAACCACATCCAAAAGTCTCTTCCAAACTGTTTTCAAAAGTTTAAAAACAATAAAGGATTAAACAAGTCATCCAAGGACATAATAACTGCAAGTTTGTCACAATGCCTCAATTTTTCCTCTGTTTCTCCCCCTGAAAATGGGAGCATATTCTCTGGCAGCGTTATTCTGAGTACTAAAGAAGGCAACATACATAAAAGCACCTCTGACAGAGATGCTCAATAAGTATTTTAAAAACCAAACCTAACAGGTGGTCCACTATATTTCTAACTAGTTTTGGATGTGAGATATTGGAGAAGCCCAGCAAACAGGACCTCAGATCTTCAGAGCACACCAGCCCAGCCCCACCCTAGGAAGGCTCAGCGTTTCCCAGCAGATGCCCCTCACCTGTGGAGGCGGGCATGCGTGTACTGCAAGAAGACGCCTGTGTCCCCACGACTCTGGAAAACACGATCCCAGCTGAACTGATAGTCAGATAAGAGTAAACCTCTGAAGTCCTAGAATGACAAGAATACATTTTTAGCACTGGGGTTTGTTCTAGCAAACAGAAGGGTCTCACAGGAGGCAATCATAACAGACCTGAATAATGAGTGCGGCAAGTCCAACCCTCTCTGCAGTCTCCTGTGGGTTCTCCAGTTCTCTGGTGGCTGGAACAGACAGAGGCATCTATCTTTAACTTACACAGAACCGCAGAGAATCAGGGATTCTGATAAAATCTGCCAAAAATATATACTGCCAGTAAGAACAAACAGCTTCACGGCAGGCAATTTACTTTCCTAATTTAGGCTAATTTACCTTGGATAAAGCTAAGAAACACAAATTCACATTTCTCATAAATATCCCTTATGAGACATTAGATAAAGCTGGTACTTACTTTTCCAAGGTTAAACAAAGTCATGAGAACTTGTGACCTGTTTCCTATTACGTAACATGGGAATTTCACATAACCACCCCAAGAGTGGAATGACAAGGCTGAAGCTGCCCATAAAAAGAGGCCTAGGGTCATATAAATTCAGATATTGAACTGAATGACACCAAGCGGCAAGTCTAAAACCTCTGGCACCTCTAATTAGTGCAAGCTATTTTTGACAAGGTTAGGGAAAGTGAAGAGAGGGATGATGGTCAAAATAAACTGCATGGCACCAAAGTCCCACAAAACATCCAAGGGGCGTCTAAGTTATGACCGCAACAATAAAGTGAATTCACTCTTAATAGAAGCCATGTTCTGTAGCATCCTCGATCGAATCTCATTTAGAACATCTTCCAGAAAAGTAACATTTCCTCTTCGAGTCTTCATTCCCTGCACCACTCCAAAGGGCACGTGCTGGCACCTGAAATGAGAGAGAGAACAGATGATCCAAGTGTAAAATTATACACTTTCAGAGAGCAGTCCAAACTTCAACTCTCATATAAGGACTTTTCAAAATTAATAAATAGGATGCGATTTATCATATGCCATAAAAGATGTTAAACACACAGCTTCATTTTATAGAGATAATCACTAAGAGGTGATTAAATTACTAGTTGTCTTGGTGGATAAAAAGGAGGGATTAAGAATTTTGGAAATCAAGCCACTGAGAGCAGATGTCTAATAAAGATATTTATTAAATGTTTATAAGTTATAAATGAATATAACCAGGACATAAATTAATGTAAAAAACAAATCTGCTTCTACACTAATACCCTGAAATAAAGAAGTGAAATCTGAATGATGACCTTCAACAACTTGGTATATTTTGGGACTTGGCTGACCTAACAAATCCTTAACGATCGTGAGCAGACAGTTACAAACCATGCGGACATTACCTTTCTGCCCAGTCATATCCCATGATCTGCAGCATCTGGAACACTTGCTGAAAATGCTTTTTTTGCCCTTTATCTGTCTTGGGGAAAGAAAAAATTAAGTGACAAGTTAACCTACAAAAATAGGTGGAGAATAAATAAAAATATTTGAGTTTTGACACACTAGATTCATTGTCCACTGATGTATTTTAAGTAAGTACACAAAGAAGATGCCAGCAGCAGAAGGTCTAAGCTGAGTGCTCTACAAGAGAAGAAAGTAAGATCTGTAGCACTTCACTGAATTACGAGGGAAGATGAACTTTAATCTCATGAGTATTCTATTTAAATTCTTTCTCCTTCAGCTATCATGACCTTTATCCCCAAGAAGGATGAAGCTCAGCTCTAATAAGTTATTTAATGGCAACTTTTTTTCTTAGGGGAAAGGGAGGTGGCACCTGGAGAGGAAGGAGAGGGAAGAGACCACAGAGTAACCCTCAGCAATAAAAGAACAAACTACTGGTGCACACAACAGCCTGGGTGGGTCTCAAGGCATTCACTATGCTGAGTGAGAAGAGCCAATCTCAAGATTACCTGCTGTGATTCTATTTATGTAACATTTTCATAGTGTCAACACTGTAGTGATGGAGAACAGAGCAATGGTTGCTAGGGGTTACGGTAGGGGATAAAGGGCAATTATTAAGTGGTTGCCAAGAGGGAGTTTATTTCATGATGGAAAAGTTGTCTATTCTGAATGTTATGATGGTTACATTATCTACACATGACACAATTTCACAACCCCCACCCCAACATATTAGGCCAACACATAAGCACATGTAAAACTTGGTGGAATTTCTTTTTTTAAAAGATTTTACTTATTTATTTTAGAGATGGGGAGAGAGAGTGTGTGCAAGCGGGGTGAGGGGCAAAGGGAAAGAGTGGGAAAGAAGCAGCAGAGCCTGATGTGGGGCCCAATCTCAGGACCCTGAGATCATGACCTGAGCCAAAATCAAGAGTCAGATGCTTAACTGACTGAGCCACCCAGGTGTACCCAAACTGGTGGAATTTAACTAAGGTCTTTACCAATGTCAGTTTCTTGGTAAAGACAAAGTACTATGGCTATGGAAGATACTATCTTCGGAGAAGGCTGGGTGAAGGGTCCATGGAAACTCTGTACTATTCTAAAACTCATGAGGCTTAAATATTTAAAATAAGTTGGGGCACCTGGGTGGCTCAGTCCTTAAGTGTATGCCTTTGGCTCAGGTCATGATCCTGGGGTCCTGGGATTGAGCTGTGATTGAGGCTCCCTGCTCAGGGGAAGCCTGCTTCTCCCTCTCCCGCTCCCCCTGCTTGTGTCCCTCTCTCGCTGTGTCTCTCTGTCAAATAAATAAATAAAATCTTTAAAAAATAAAGTTACTTTTAAAAAAGTACATTATGGTAACCTGTACATATTCATTTCATATAACCATTTTCCTGATTTGAGTAATTTTTTTTTTAATCATGAAGCAATGTGAATGTTTTCACTTTTGTTTTTAACATAGTGGTTTCCACGTTAAATAAACTTAACACTGAATTCCTTTTATATTTTGACAAAATTATTTTCCAAAGTTTTTCAACATGGTATACTAATTTCCATCTTTGCAGTTTCATGAGGTAGAGATCATAATCTTTTGTTTTTTATTGTGATTACTTACCACATAAATCATTGCATCAAAATTGTACTTGTCCATTCGATCTATAGCAGCAGCAAGATCTCTGAAAAAAAATGGCCATAGATTAAGAGTTACTAAGCAGATCTGGGTAAAAATTTGCTTTACCTATTTAATATTAATGAGGCTTTTCTAATTAAGAAGTCCTACTATCCCATGCCTAAGGTATACGACAGATGATTACATAATCCCAATACCATACTTTGATATAAAGTAATAGTAGTAAAAATAGCTTGGGGAAAAGCAATAATAAAAGTACTGTGGAAAGATTTAAAAATAAATAAATAAATATAAGCTCTGGGAGTGGTAGTACTAACTAAAATAACTCCAGGCAAAGTACCTGTAGGTAAATGCTTCATGATTTGTTAATTAAGCCTCTACTGGAAAGAATTACCTAAGTGTCACTTTTCTGCAGTACACTTTTTAAAAAAAAATTCTATTTATTTATTCATGAGAGACAGAGAGAGATAGAAAGAGAGACAGAGAGAGGCAGAGGCAGAGGGAGAAGCATTCTCCCCAAGGAGCAGAGAGCCCGACGCAGGGCTTGATCCCAGGACCCTGGGATCATGACCTGAGCTGAAGGCAGAGGCTTTAACCCACTGAGCCAACCAGGCACCCTGCAGCAAAACTTTCTTTTTTTTTTTTTTTAAGAAAAAAAATTTTTAAGGTTTTATTTATTCATTTAACAGAGAGGGAGAGTACAGGCAGGGAGAGCAGCTGGCAGAGTGGGAGGGAGAAGCAAGCTCTCTGCTGAGCCAGGAGCCAGATGTGGGACTCGATCCCAGGACCCTAGGATCACGACCTGAGCCGAAGGCAGCCGCTCAACAAACTGAACCACCCAGGCGTCCCTGCAGTACACTTTCTTAAAGAACATATTCAAGGGGCGCCTGGGTGGTTCACTCGTTAAGCGTCTGCCTTCGGCTCAGGTCATGATCCTAGCCAGGGTCCTGGGATCATCGGGCTCTCTGCTCTGCTGGAAGCCTGCTTCTGCCTCTCCCACTCCCCCTGCCTGTGTTCCCTCTCTCGCTATGCCTCTCTCTGTCAAATTAATAAATAAAATCTTTTAAAAAAAGAACAGACTCAGAACACAAATAATGTGGCAGCTATACTACTATCTTTTAGCTACCTTCTATTAATACTATGAAGGACTTTCAAGGTCTCCAATCAGTCATAAGCAATACCTTCTAAAGCAATGTGAAAGACCATAAAGTCCTTTGACAAAAACTCAACCCTTCTTTCTCTAAGTATGAAAGACTCAGTTTGCATCTAGTATGAAATAATGAAAAAACAAGCCATAAACTATGAAATTTCAAGTCGATTATGAGAATACTGAAATTTAAAATGAAAACTATTGGGGCGCCTGGGTGGCTCAGTGGGTTGAGCCTCTGCCTTCGGTTCAGGTCATGGTCCCGGGGTCCTGGAGTTGAGCCCGGCGTCGGGCTCTCTGCTCGGAGGAGAGCCTGCTTCGCCCTCTCTCTCTGCCTGCCTCTCTCCCTACTTGTGATCTGGCTGTCATATAAATAAATAAAATCTTTAAAAATGAAAAAAAATTTAAAAAAAAATTTAAAATGAAAACTATTTCTGGTTAACAATATAACATTGGGAAGACTTAAAAAGTTCTCAGATCTTCTGAAATGTTGGGGATCATCAAAATGTCTTTAGTTCCCACCTCGTAATTCTGATATAACATAGAGCAATGCATTAGCAACAGAGACAAAAACTGGCTGTTGAGGAACAACAAAATCTTACCTTTTTATTTTTTTTAAGATTTATTTATTTTGAGAGAGAGAGAGCGCACGCGTGCAAGCGGCACGTGGGTGGGCAGAAGGACTGGGAGTATGTCTCTTGAGCAGACTCTGCACTGACTGCAGAGCCAATTCAGGACTCAGTCTCACAACCCTGAGATCACAACCTGAGCCAAAACCAAGAGTCAAATGCTTAACTGACTGTGCCACCCAGGCACCCCCAAATCTTATTCTTTTTACATATAAAGCACATACATGCATGCTATATCACAGATATAGAGGGTATCTGTAATAAAATTTCATGAGGTGGGGAAGTCGGAAAATTGGCTAAAAAGACTCCTGAGAGCAGGGCTATAATGAAAAAAAGGAAAAAAAGGTTGTGAAACACCAGTATAGATTATCTCCCAGATGAAATCACAAATATATACTCCTATTGGATTTTTGGTTTGAGCCAAGGAAAAAACAAAGAGAAGCCTTTTTGATCCAATGAAATAAAAAAAAGAGAATACACGAAAAAGCTTTAAGCTGAGTGTGTAGAACCTGAATTTGAAAGCAGGAAGGAATGCCAGGTCATTTAGTTCATGCCTCTTATTCCAAAGTAGGAACCCATGGCTCAGGGAGGGTAAATGGTAGTTGTGGTCTTAAAACTCTAGATCTCCAGCCTCATCCCGAGCTCTTGTCTATTCTCCCGCACTTCTGTCTATTCTAACAAACTCCTTTAATTCACATCCACATATATAGCTGCATTCTATAAGGAACCCACTGATAAGCACAGAAACTAAAGTTAGAGGTGAAAAATCAAACATTTCAACAAGTGGCAAAAAACACAATTATTCTCCCAAAGAGAAAAGACAGTATAGGTATTAAGATAAATACACAGAAAAATCTAGACCTAATGAAGGCTAGCCCAAAAAAGATAACTAAATCAGGACAGCTATAATCATTATGACATGGAGTGTCTCATCTGAGTGGAAACATTTCTTAAAGCCACTGCTCAAGGATTTCTTTAGGTAATCTGTCCAGCAATAACTGGCTGGCACAAAATATTTTTCTACTATTATTTTTTAATCTACAAAAAGAAATGTACTTCTTACATACATGGGTTCTTCTTACTTCCTAACTCCACCTGTATGGAACTGATAAAGGGAAATGTGGAAAAAGTAACAAAGTAAGGGATCAATTTTCTAAGGCAATCAGAGAGTTGTATAAAGCTGTCTGGAACAAATGACAGTAGTTAATAAGAGCAGTCAATATCATTTCTTTAACTATGCTGTGAAAGTGGGTTTATGATCCAATATAAAACTCCAGCCTGGAAGACACCATAGCCTTCTGCCAGAAGAGCCTGAATATGGCCGTGCTGCTTGTGTGCCTTTTTTATGGTCCTATCTTCTTCCTATTGGCTTTGTCCCAGATATAAGTGTGCTTGATAAATCCAATCTTACTGATTAACAGAGACTGTTCCTTTCCACATGGCCTACTTCTCCCTTGGCCTATTTTACCACTGTCAGAATGAGGACTAATATTTAAGGCGGTCTTGACAGAGTGAGGACACCACTGAGCCACTATGACCACCTTCTAGTATATATTTCCTGCCAATGTGCAACTGGAAAATATTTATAGTTAATTATAAGGTATCTCAGTTTTACAGTTTGTAGAACAATGTATTCAACTGTGGAAATCCTATGATGTTTAACTAATTGTAAATAGTTCCTTCAGTCACTTTCCTGATGGTATCAAAACTGTCCAGGAACTATAACTGGCAATAAATAGAAATCCAATAAATATTTTTTGAAGTGATGATAGCAAGAGATTTAGAAACTAGGATTTAATAACAGCTTTGAGGATAAAATGATTGTTTTGGCACTGATGCTACAATAAAGAACATGAAGCCATATGCATTCTGATGTTGAGCTCCACGTTTGATACAAACCTGGTTGCGTAGAGAGAAGTCCCATCGCTCCGCATTACGGTACAGATTGAGGAAGGGTCACCATTCCCAGAAAGATCCACTATAGCTGTTCCTCGTCTAAAAATATGAAAAGGTAACTCTGAAGAAACAATAAGTTAAGACCTTTAAAAGTACAGTATCTATAACATTATCTTTGGCAAACCAGAAGCTACTTTTTATAACTTAGGTAAGACTTTAACATCCCCAGTTGAAAAATGAGATTTCAACTGCAGTTTAACCATGAAACATACTCTTCCAATTCAAATTACAGGGTTAAATATTGGGTTAATTTTTAACATGCCAAAAAATACTTGCATAATAAACCACGGAATTTTGTTACTGTCATCCCTATCTTATCAAAAATTAGAATCTGTATATGGCAAGCTAAGAATCTGTCTTAACAGACATTACTGAAGGTGTTATGAACCACATCGTCCATTACTTCCTCATAAAGATGAGGAGACAAAGTACTCTTTGATACTATGAAAACTGGCACTTCTAAGCAACTGGTTTGCTTCTATATTACAGATGCCTGGGCTCCTATGACCAGTACTATTTCTTTTTGTTTGGCTGACAGGAAGCTCAAAGTTAAATTAGAAATTTCCTTCAGTAAGGAAACAGCATCCCAATATGTGTTATATGACATGCCATTATCATTCCTGATTCCCTATTAGTTTTTCTGCCCCTGCTTCCTGATTTCCTCATTTTACTCTTTCAAAAGTTTGTGTTCTACCTATTTAGATAAGGTGCCTTAAATCCATTCTGAACAAAGTATTTTTTTTTTTTTTTATAAAATGCAGGGCTGAGTAAGTTCCTTTTTCCAGTTATATCATGATCAGCTTGTGTGACAGGAGGCCAGTTGCTTATACCTTCTGTGCTTCAGTTTCTGCACATGTGAAGAGCAGGTAACAGCTTTTCTTCCAGCCTACCAGGATTTTGTCATGGCAGCAGCAGACTATATGTAGAAAAGTACTTTGAACAGCAAAAAGCACTATAAAAAAATGCCAGGAAGGCTGCATGCCACATTCTATTGTCCTGAAAGACTATACCAATACCAATTTTTTTCAAAGAAGAAATAACTTTACTACAGAATAGTAACCCAACCATACACTGTTTTCTGTAGGAGTCCTTTACTGTCCAGCAACTTCAAAACTTCTTGAGATTTTTCACGATAAAACGATTCTCCAGAGTATTCATCAAAGTGTACTCCTAGACGCTAAAATGGTTCAGAAACAAAAGAAAGTTACTTAAATGTCCTATTACCTTGCCCTCAGATAAAATGGGCTACTCTACAGTCTGTTACACAGATGGGGAAAATAAGAAATTAGTTCAAGATCAGGTCACTCTCCACCATCAAACCTTCTAATAACTCCTCCTACATCAGTCAAGTCCTCACAATAGTAATGGGCTATCTGATATGGCAGCTACAAGGCCCATGTGGGTATTCAAATTAAATAAAATTGAAAATTTAGTCTCTTAGTAACACTACTCATGCTTCAAGTGCCCGACAGCCACCCAAGGCTAGTGGCGTGCTGGACAGCACATCACAGAACATCTTCATCGCAGCAAGAAGCCAGATGGACAGCCCTGGACAATGTCCCACACCATGCCCCACACTACAACCTCTTCAAACTCCTCTCCTTCTGCTCTTTACCCTGCTTCCTTACTCCAGCTGTATGGGTTTCTTTAATGCAATTCTTTTCATTCCACCCACAGACAGCGTGCTCTGCTTCCCCTTCCCTGCTTCATTTTTCTCCATAGCATCATTCCCACCTAACAGACTGAGTATGTTGCTCAATTTCTATTGTCTTTAATTTGGTTAATTTGCTGTCTCCATGCTGGACGGTAAAGTCCATGGCAGAAAGACTTGTATTTTCTTTATTTGCTGTTTATTTTTCCCACCCCCTAAAATGTTTATTAAATGCATCACATACAGCCCTAAGGAAGTGAAAGGGGAAAAAAACGATTAAGAAAAAGTGAGGGAATGAACAGAAGAGAGAAAAGAGAAGCCAGACTGAAACAAATACCAGAAGCCACCTGGTGTTTGACTGTGAAGTTCAGAGGATTTTTTTTTTGAGGTTCTAAATTCCAGCCCAAAGAACAGTATTTGAATCCCAATTTGCAACTGAATGACAAATCTAGTTTTAAAACACAAGCTTTAGAAGTAAGTTCATACAGCCCCCGGCTGGCTCAGGCAGTAGAGCAGATGGCTCTTAATCTTAGGGTCCTGAGTTCAAGCCCCATGTTGACTGTGGAGCCTATTTCAAAAAAAAAAAAAAAAAAAGGAAGCAACTTCACTACTCGATAGTACCGTCAAGAGCTGCACCCCATCATAGGAGAGCAGGAGAGCAGGGAGGCACCTTGTAAATCCGCATATATTCTTCTACGCTGAGGTCCCGAAATTTCTGCCACAGTGCAAGTGCTTGCGTGTCACCCAGTTCTAATCGCTGGAAGAACTCATGTGCAGATTTTGCTATATTTTTATCATCTGCTGCCTCTTTATTAACTTGTACATAAACCTAAAAGCACAACAGTACATTAAATGAAGTACATTAGTCACGGTTACCTTCAATGGAAAAAACAAAACACAGTCCTGAGAATTTTCATTTAAAGGTTAGCCAACTGCCCTCATCAGATTGTAACCTTTCTTTATTCTTTTGCCATGGTCCTTTACTGAACCCTATAGACCCCTTCTCAAAATGTTCCTAAATGCATAAAGTAAAATATATATGCTTATAAAGGAAATAATACACTGAAATAGTTATCTCATTATTATTTTTTTTAATTGTGATGAAATAATGGAAGAAAATGCTAATACCTGATCAAAGTTAGGGAAAATAAAATGCATAATTTTTTTCTTCCCATCCAAGTTCACAGATGCCTGGGTTAGATTAAGTTAGCATTTCTTCTTTTTTTTAACAAAAAGTCAAATTATTATTGCTGCAACTTCTCTGAGAAAAGGTCAAAGAAAGCAGAATGGTTCAATCTGGCTAAGACAAGGCCAAAGATTGATCCAGCAGTTGTTTTAAGAAAGATTTTTAGAACTGTTCTCTAAATATGCAAGAATAATAAAATAGGTGATCTAGTCAGACCTTTGGATAGTTGGCTTACTTACACTCCCACTTGGGCTCCTGAGAGCTATGTGGACCACTTACTTCTGGAGTATTTTTGCATCTGTCTTGGCTGGTTTAGTTCTGCCCCCACCCAATGACAGGAATGGAGTTGGACTGCTTATTAAGGGCTCTTCCAATTCTATGATTCCGTGTTCACAATTTACTTAAAAGTATTCCAGTCTCCAAAATGCAAGCTTATAAATGATACTGAAACATCAACTTTGCACCTCAAGTAGTACTGAAATTACGCATACAGACTGTAAAGATTTTACTTCTGGGGGCGCCTGGGTGGCTCAGTTGGTTCAGGATCCAACTCTTAATTTCGGCTCAGGTGGTGGTCTCAGGGTTGTCAGATGGAGCCCTGAATCAGGCTCTGCGCTAAGTGTGGAGCCTGCTTAAGATTGTCTCTTCCCATCCCTACCCCTCTCTCTCCTCCTCTCAAAAAAAAAAACAAGATATTACTTACAGGATAAAACATGAATGATAAATTTACCCTTCTTATATTTTTTTCCAGAAAGCTATTAAAGTAGCACAAAAGTAATAAAAATTGACAAATAAATTACCAAAGAAACATGAGGCATCTAAACTATTACAGTAATATCATCAAAATATGAATGGCAGATAAAATGATTTTATTGCTGGAGAGAACAATGGGACAACTGTAATGTGGTTTATACCCACCAGATACTACCAACAAAAGAACAGGAGATTAAACATTTATGTCAAGGTCAAATGCCTTACTTTTCATTAGATGGCTTGTGTTAATTACTGGAATGGCAGAGATGAATAAATATTCCCTCCAAAAGTTAAAACTACCTCATTTTTTTTCCTCTTTAAAGCACCTTGTGCAGAAAGACTTAATATATAGCAGACCCGAGACTGCTATCCTTAAAATGTCCTGTTTGCAAGGTTAGCCCTTGGCTGGCATCTGGGAACTTGGATTTGGGAAATGTTCCCACCGAGCAGGTCACTGTGCTTAAACTATGAAAACAATACAGTTTATGCTAAACACTTGCTTTGCTTCTGGGAGTTTGGCATTTTAGAACATGCTAAGCAGAGGGTGCCTACATGATCAAACTCCAATAGAAACTTGGGGCACGGAGCATCTGATGAGCTTCCCTGGCAGACAACATTTCATGCATATTGTCGCAGTTTGTTGCAGGAGGACCTGCGTGTATCCTATGTGACTCCACTAGGAAAAGACTCTCAGATGCTTGGAACTGGTTTCCAACAGACTTTACCACATGTGCCTTTCCCTTTACTGATGTTGCTTTGCAACCTTTTGCTGTAATAAATCATAGCTGTGAGTACAACTATATGTGGAGTCCTATGAGTCCTCTTAATGAGTTACCAAACTTGGTGGTGGTCTTCGGAGACCAGACACACATATCATAGGAAATTAATTTCCATGTGCTCCCATGAAATAAGTCCAGAATAAGAACAGAAGATGATTTTGGCAAGGTGTGGAAAAACAGTCATTGTAAGATAGTGAACTGCAAACCTCTTGACTTTTGAATGACCTATCTACCTAGTGACACCTGTTCAACAGTTCAGCCTATAGGAACAAAGGCATACATAGGTCTCTATGATTTGTGGTTCAAAATCTCTCTCACACACCCACCCACCCACCACACACCCATGTTCATACACCATTTAAAAGCAAACATATATAAAATATCCTTATTTTCAGAAATGGCTTTTTTTCTTTTAAATCTAGGACTCTACACTCATAGCCAACATTTAAAAATCAAATATGCATGTGAACTACTGATAAGAGTATTTTTAGAAAAAAACTTTACCAGAGTGTCTTCCCTTTCTTAAAACTTAAAATAGAAATCATCAAAACAAAATAAACAAAACCAAACCCTTACTTATACTTGAGGAATCTTGGCATTTCAGCAATTTGCAGTTATAAACCAAACATTACTGAAAATCAACTGACACTATCAAGCAGAACAATAGAAGACCCTTAATTAGCACTTAACAATCTGCCTGTAAATGCACAATATAAAACTGTAATTATTAACATTCATCACCATTTTAGAAAGAAAATGCATTTTTCTTCACAAGATAAATTTAATACTATATATTTCTGAAATTACAGTTTTAAATTTAGTTACCACAAGCTTTTTAGGCTTAGAATGTATGCATTAAAAAAAAAAATGTATGTATTTTCAAGATAGCTTCCTTTTGAGGCTAGGTCTAGATACAAAAGGAATAAAAAGGAAATTTCAAATTTGGATCTAATAATAAGAATGTGGCTTAGGCAAAATGTTCTTGAGGATGGAAATAATTTTTTAGTTACCAGAATGCAAAAATGAGCTCTATTTCCTTTACAGAATTAACTGTTTAAGACTTTAAAGGAATAATACCCTTTTCACTATTTCTAGATGCTGGTATTCCCAAAAAGCACATGACATTTTATTTCTAATTTAACTGATTAAGATAACTATAGTCAGCTCTTGAGAAAATCTGTCTATATGTAAAGATATAAGTGCAAAAAAAAAATAGCATATAATATCCTTTAATCTCTTAAATTTGATTCCAGAATACCATTATCAACACAGACACAGTTTATTCTTTGGTACAGGGCTCTAACCCTAACCCTGATTATTTTTGTTTAAAACAAAGAATAACTGCTAAGAATGGTTAGCATTAATTAGACTCTAAACAGGTCTAAAGACACTGTTAACTGTGTATTTATCCTCTACCTTAAAATGCATTTAATTTCTATCTCATTTTTTAGAAAAAAAAAAAAAAAAAGAATTCATGATTATAACTAAAACAAGCTCTTTGTTAGTTTAATGCTGCTTCTTGATGAGAAATTTCTTATAGAACTGTGTTAAACTAAATATTAAAGAAATTCAAACAAATAATAGTTATAATTTAAAAGATCAATATATCAGTTAATAATAAAATCAAAACTTGCTAGATTTAAAAAAATAACTTGAAGCGATTATCAAGTTTCTCCTTGTATGTCATTAGTATGTCTCCTTAGTATGTCATTATCAGTATATAATTAGCATTTTACTACCTATTCATCTTCTTTCAATATTTGGAATGTCCTATTTTTATTCTTTGTTTGTATTAATATCCATGACATCTTATCCCTTTATTCAAGGGTGATAACGATTAACTTCTTGTGTTTATTAGGTAATAGTACACAGTATTACACATTTCTCATGTTGAAAAAAAAAGGTTTTTGCACATTTCAACGAGGTGTGATAATTACTGAGCTATTCACATGTACTCTGGCCTTGCTCAGTATTCCCATCCTTGTTCTAACAACACTCTGAGGACAATGGACACTGTAGTAACCCTTAGAAGGGTAAGGTTTAGGGAGAAAGGCTAGTGGCTTTGGGGAAGATGGTCAAGAGCAATGGTAGAGCAGAAATGCTGCCAGGAAAGAGGAAAGGAGAATTGCCTAGATTGACAAGGGGATGGGGAAACAGCCCCAGGGGAAGGGGAAAAAAAAAAAGCTGTTGCTGGGGTGGCAGGGGGCCCTCTGAGGGAAATGGTTTGCAGTATCCCCACACAGGGAGGCTGATCTCTAGGCCTATAGAACTGGGCCACAGCTAGGATCTCCCAGGTGAAGCTGGTCATATAAGCAGAGCTGTGTGTCTCCAGGTCATTACATAGCCTTGGATACTGGGTATATCAATGAAGACCACTGTGAACTAAAGACAAGGAAAGGCCTCCATGCCCATCCTGAGATGCACATTAGAGCCTGGGGAACTCTATGATTTGGGAGATGAGAAACACTCAACAAAGACTTAAGCTGACTCTTAAAACCAAAGTGTGGCTGGGTTCAAATTTAATTAGGCTTATAATTTAGGAGCTATTTCTTTCATGCGTTATAATGAGTAAAATACACACCAATGGTAACAGTCCCCTTGTCTGAAGAAAAGTAATGTGACCTGACCAATAAAGAACTCTTGAATTCAAGTCTATAAAAGTTTCTAACTGCATAAATAATCCCCTATGTCTAGAATTGATTTAGTCTTGAATTATTTTCTTAAGTTTGAGAAACTTTTTTTTTTGAGAATCTAAAGCTAGGAAAAATATGGTCTCTTGACGGACAGATACTATTCCACATTTAAAAAGGTGACAGCAAGTAATTATTATCACTCATGAATTTGGGGTTTTGATCTTGCCCTATTTTCTACACACTTTTTTTTTTTTTTTTTGCTACTTACATGGGGAAACTCAGGGTCAAACCTCTATGGGGAAACTCAGGGTCAAACCTCTAATATACTGCTACCTAGTAATATATTAATATATTATCCTCTGAATTTCTATTTTTTTAATTAAATGCCCATCACTGTAATTATCTCAAATCATTTTTAAAAAGGGGAAGGGTAAAATAACAAATACTTCCGGGGTCATTATGAACTTAAGAGAAAATTTATACTATTGTGTTAATATATCAGGTTACCTTTATGAATGCCAGTGATAGGATATAGTGCTAATGCATACTTACTGGCATAATATTTTTTTCTATGAGAGGCTGCTCATATTTCAGAGTCATTTTTATGGTTATCAAAATCCATTATTAATAAGCAACATGCAATAAGCCAAGTCCTAAAAACTTCTGTAGCAAAAAAAAAAAAAAAAAAAAAAAAGACTGGATTATACCTTCTTAAAACAGTGTTAGATGTTACCAAGGTCCATTCAAGTATGTTTCTCTTTTTTTTTTTTTTTTTTGAGAGAGAGAGAGAGGCAGAGGGAGAATCTTTCTTTTTTTTCCCTAAAGATTTTATTTATTTATTTGACAGGAGAGAAATCACAAGTAGGCAGAGAGGCAGGCAGAGAGAGTGGGAAGCAGGCTCCCTGCTGAGCAGAGAGCCGGATGCTGGGCTCGATCCCAGGACCCTGAGATCATGACCTGAGCCGAAAGCAGAGGCTTAACCCATTGAGCCACCCAGGTGTCCCCAGAGGGAGAATTTTAAGCAGGTGCCTGATATGGAGTTAGATCTCACAACTCTGAGATTACCATCTGAGCCAAAATCAAGAGTCAGATGCTTAACCAACTCAGCCACCCTGGTGCCCGGAGGTCCATTTAAGTAGTTTAAACCTAGGAGAAACCTAGAGAAATTACTTTGAGAAAAGTTATCATTAGAACAGGTAAAAAAGTAAATGATGACATCCAAATACTCAGGATTTGGATTTAACATATTAACTTTTTACCAAAAGAATTACTTTTTGAAAGTGGAAAGGCTTTTTGATACATGTTCCAAAGCTTTTATGGTTTTTTGACCAATACTGTGAATTCTCAAGAGTAAATATATTAGTTATTTAACTTATTAGCTAATTCAGGGAGGATAAACTATTCTAAAACTACTTTCTCCATTTCATGACAACAAATCTAAATAAAAGGTTTTATATGTTGATCAACAGAAGTCCCAAGTCCACACACAATACAGCCAGACATCATGGGGAAAAAAATGACTTTAGTACACAGAAAAACTGTAATGAAGAAAAGCAAAAAAATGGAATTCAGTAGAGAAATGATTATGGTATAATATTTTCATCATAGAAAGGAAATACTAAAATTATTCTGTAATTTCTATACACAAAAACTGAGAAACTGAACCTGGGGGATACTGATCATGGTGCCACTCAGAGGGAGGCAGGCCACAAATTGCCACTGGATGGCCACAGTCAAATTCAAAACAGATACTCCGGAAGGTTGAAACCGTGACAAGTAAACTATCAATTGTGTTCCTGGTACAGCAATTTGAGGATGGGAAAAAGGAAAATGTTATGTAAGTAATTACAACCAATGGAAATGAAGGGCCGCAAAGGCATTCTATAATGTCAGTGGAGGGCATGGCAATGCAGTGAGTACTTGGGAGCCAGACCGCCTATGCTAGAATCCTGGGTCTAGCCCTTGGGTTCTTCATCAGTACACTACATAATGAAGTCAGGTTCTGAGGAATGGTAACTACTGTATCCTACAATAGTTAGTTCTTCCCTAGAGCTACACAACAGGTTTTATATTATACAACTTAATGATTACAGCTGAAGTCCAGACTGTGATGCCACCAGCTTTGGTTTTCTTTGTTAACATTCCTTTGACTATCTGGGATCTTTTCTGGTTCCATACAAATTTTAGGATTATTTGTTCCAGTTCTGTGAAAAAAGTTGATGGTGTTTTGATAGGGATTCCACTGAATACATACATTGCTCTAGGTAGCACAGACATTTTCACAATATTTGTTCTTCCAATCCATAAACATGGAACGTTTTTCCATTTCTTTGTGTCTTCCTCAATTTCTTTCATGAGTGTTCTACGATTTTCTGAGTACAGATCCTTTGCCTCTTTGGTTAGGCTTATTCCTAGGTATCTAATGGTTTTGGGTTTAAACATAAATGGGATTGACTCCTTAATTTCTCTTTCTTCTGTCTTGTTGCTGGTATATAGAAATGCACTGATTTCTGCATACTGATTTTATATCCTGCCACTTTACTGATTTCCTGTATGAGTTCTAGCAATTTTTAAGCGGAATCTTTTGGGTTTTCCACATAAAATATCACATCATTGGCAAAGAGTGGGAGTTCAACATCTTTGCCAATTTAGATGCTTTTCTTTCTTTTGATGTCTGACCACTGAGGCTAGGACTTCCAGTACTATGTTGAACAGCCATAGTGAGAGTGGACATCCCTGCCATGTTCCTGAACTTAGGGGAAAAGCTCTCTGTTTTTCCCCGAATTCTAGAATGAAATCTAGAATTGTGGGTTTTTCATAAATGGCTTTTATGATATTGAAGTATGTACTCTCTTTCCCTACATTGTAAAGAGTTTAAATAGAAGATAAAAGGACAAAAAGATCCATAAGATCAAATTCACTCAAAATTTAACCACAAAGCATAATGTATGGGGCTGGCAATAAAATATGAGGAAAATATGGTCCTTCCTCTCAAAAAGCTTACAACTAACTACAATTTCACAAGGGAAAAACCAGGTATCCAACCAAGGTACAGGTTTTCTTTTAGGAACAGGCTAAGATAATTTATTAATATATGCCTAGAGTTCAGAAAAGAAAAAAAAAAAATCCTCATTTATGCTACATGTTTTTGTTGAAGGTAATCTGTAATGACAATTATAATTTTAAAATGAAAACTGGGTCTGCAAAAATTAGTACAAAGATAAAATAACCTGGTGGCTGCCACTTTAGGCTCTGCATTTTTTTTCTGTCCTGCAAAGGAAGGAGGAAGAGAGCCAGTTAGCACCTAATGGATTTCTCTCTTTTATTACAAACAGCAAGGTGGGTATATTAGACTTGTTCTCTTTTGTTTATACATGTTGCTTCCCTATGAAGCTTCTAGGCAAAAGAAGATTGAATGAAAGCAGTGCCACTGTTCCTCGAGGTTTCAGTTATTCACAGAAGTGCCTCTGCCCTTGTTCCTTCCTTATGTGCAGCATCAATTAACAACCTCTATATAGAGGTGCAATCTCTCGCTTTTTATGAGTCTCAAAACCCTGAAGATCTGTAGTACACTGAATAGAAAGAAACATACATTTAAGTTTCTATGGAGTTGAAACAGACTTTACTAAAATATTTAAAATATTATGAGCAACAATGACTTACTATTTTCAGGATTAAATAAAACCTCTGAGGTAGCGTGGGAGAAAGAGGAAAATAGGAACTCTCAAATTTTAGAGTACTCAAATGTACTCTAAATTCTTAAGAATGTTCTCCTAATGACATAAGATCTCTGAGCAAGTATTTGTATTTTCTGTGGCATCGGTGTCTCTGTTGGCCCAGAGCTGAAGAAAGGTTCATTAACCTTGTGGTAAAAAAAATACTTGCCATTTCTAAGTTTTGAAAAATAATACAATAAAAATTCCAGGCACAAAGGTGGCATGCTTTACTTATGAACATCCATAAAGAATTATTAATTTTAAAACTCTTGCTTATCAATAAAACTCAATGGAAAACAGAAAAAAAATCTTTTTGATTACTTTTCTAAATCAAAATGTAGACATTTATAGTGCAGTGCAGGCCCGGACTCAGTAGGAAATTATAAACCCTTAAAGGTCTTTAAGCATTACAATGTGATTTTTGTTAAATTTAACTACAAAGCCACAGGAGAAAAATCACTTATCAAAAAGGAAAATGATGGGGGCGGCTGGGTGGCTCAGTGGGTTTTAAGCCTCTGCTTTCGGCTCAGTCATGATCTCAGGGTCTTGGGATCGATCCTGGAATCAGGCTTGGCAAGGAGCCTGCTTACCCCCACCCCTCTCTGCCTGCCTCTCTGCCTACTTGTGATGTCTGTCAAATAAATAAATAAAATCTTCAAAAAAAAAAAAAAAAAGGAAAATGATGAAGCATTCTTGGTAGCACTGGCTAGAGAAGCAAAGCATTATTTTGCTAAGTGCTCTTCCTCACACACAGGAATGAGAACTTTAGTCGATTCCCCGTACGGCACCAACACAGCTAATGTACTGGTGTTTCTTTTTGTGAGGGCCAGAAGCAGCAGAGATAACAACTAGGACGATGAAAAGGAAACACATCCCTGGAGATTAATTGGACAGAAAGACCTTTAGGAATGAACTTCAGGAAAAACTGAGGACAAGAATCAAAGTACCCAAGGACTAAATGAGGCAGAAAAGGAAGGAGTTCACACTGGGCAAAAGCCAGGAGGAGCTTTTGAAAAAAAGCACACACAAATTCAGAGAAACATGGGTACCCTCCCAACCACAGCTGACCAAGAGGAAAAAGTATATACTCATGTTTTTCAATTCTAAATGAATTATAGTTATTGCCATGAAGGCAGCTTCAGTTACATAGCAACTGATGAAAAAATTAAAGAAATGTGTGTTGAAGCTATTGTCTTATGTGTTTATTCTAAGACAACTCTATATCTAGAGAAATACTGTCCCAAATCAACTAAAACAGAAATAAAAGACAAACACTTGGATATGAAAAGGAAAAGAACTCCCTAGTAAACTAAAAACATTTTCAATTGTTTCAGTTCCCTGTTTTAAGGAAGGTTTTTTAAAACCTCTGGGATTAAAAATTAATCTGCAGAGTACTCTGAAAATAGTAAGTTAAGACATTTTCCACTCTTCTTTCTTGCCAACTTACTTCAAAGAGATGCTGTAAAGGATTGGACTGAAGTTTTTCTTCATAGCCAAACAGCTGGAAGCCAGTTCCCAGAAGACCTACCACAATAATCCATAAATGAAAACATTATAAAATGGCACAGTAGAGAACAGACATGGCAGGGAACAGGTTCAGTTGTATCAAAAGATCAAGCTCTCATAATTATATGTCCTGAGAGTGCTGCAAACATACGTTATTATCTTCAGCTACCCCATAAACTCATGTAAGTTCAATTAAATGTACCAAACCACAAATTCACTATATTGAATAGATCACTGCAATTAACTTCACAGACAACAACAGATTATGAACTCATAAAAGGTACGGTCTAGGACTAACTTGTCTTTGTACTAACAGTGCCTAACACTTCCCTAGCAGACATAATAAAACAGCTCTCCTAGGGAAGGACATCATGATGCTAGAAACTGGATGTTTAAAATTTCTGAAAACAAGTTAACGGGAAGTGATTTCAGAACTTTCTTACTAAACTTGTAGGTGTTAAAATAAAACAAAGGTAGAAATTGGCTTGGTGTTCTAATATTAGTTCTTAAACCAATGACTGAAGGAAAATAATAAAAGATATAAAAGATAAAACTCAAAACATACCTGATTACCTCTCCCATTCAAGGTAGCCAATCAACAAAATTCTTTTTTTATCTGGCCATGTATTTGTCTCTTATTTGTCAATGGTTTTTTGGTCTCTGATGATAAGTTCCAGCATTCAGGGTTAGTGTTAATTTGAATCTTAGTTTTTTTAAAAATAATAATTGAGGTAACAGACAATGAGTACTTATATTCTTAAGATATTCTTGCTAAAAGATGACCATGATTTCAGTTTGAAAGGATATATGCAGCCTGGGGTCAAGAGCAACAAAAGGTTGTTTAATTATTTTAAAAACCAATCTGTTTCTACAACTCTATCAGTTACTAAGCTTAAGATCTAAAGAAGCTATTGTCGGGGGCCTTGCTGATGATTATTTTTCTATAGAGGCTCAGCAGAAAGCGGGATGCTACTGAACATGAAGATACAAAATATTTTGGAGCTTTAGACAGAATAGAAGGATGAAAGAAAAATGTACCGCCCTATTCACTTTAAGCAGAAACAAATGTGATTATGATTCAGGGTCGGGAGCAGAATGTGGAAAGATGCCCAGAGTGTCTAAAAAATGGAAATAGGAAAAGCAAAGGCCAATCTCCATTTAACATTCAACCTAATATATTTTCAAAAACTAATTTTGTGCTTAGAAACTATCTGCCAACTTTCAATAGGAGATAGCTGAAACAGCCCAAATTTAAAACTCTTCAACAATGATGGTTGTAATGGAAATGGTGACAGATCATTAACCATAGCAGTCCTTTAGAGAAACACTGCAATAATAAAATCCTGAAGCTAAAATTAAAGAATACCATAATCACCATATTTACTAATGCCTGCGAAATGCATAAATCGGTTAAACTAATGTAAAGTGGATACCATCTATTAAATCTGACTGTTGAGCCTCGAGCCTAAACCTCTGACTACCAGTTGTTGTGAACTGCAGGTGGGTCTTTAAAATGCAGGGCATGTTTTCTGATTCCCCCACAATGAATACTAATGGCACTGATAACTGGTTTAAGTTCTACCCTTTTTAGAGTCTAAAAGAGATTTTTATTAACTGAAATGAAAGAGAAGATCATGATAAATCTGTCTTTTGGAAACTGATTTCATTTCACTAGATACGATAGAACATAACAGTATCAGTGAACTTTAGAACTGGCAGTGCACGCGGCACTTTATAGAAGCTTTAAAATATTATCTAGTCTTTCTTTTGGATTAGTACTATAAAATACTTCCCACTACAGATTCATTCATCACTCTTAGTTCTTCTTATATGCCATGCACTATGGACACAAAAATAATGAAGACACAGTCCATGCCTTCAAGGAATATATCAGCTAGCAGGGGAGAGAAGCACACAAATTAAGAACAGACTACATACAAGCATATCTGAGTACAGCTGGCTACTAGGAACGTCGTGATGTGAGATGGAGGCAAGGGTCTATCTGTGTGACACAAGGGCTGGATCTTAAAACACACACAGTAGTTGCCAAAGGTTTTGAAAAGCTCGCATTTCACATGCTACTACCAGTACTTTACTACCTTAGCAACTTCATTTTATCTTGCCCTTCCTTGATTACTGGTGTTATTATGAGCAAGGAATGGTTCTGAGTAAACTCACGACATTATAGACAATTTACGGCATTCAGCTGTTTGGGTCTTACTCCTTTCTGACCCCCTGCCACTGTACAATTTAAGAAGGAGCCAAAGTATTCCACTTTCTTTTTCCTCTATGCCACTGGCTCAGCGTCTAACAGATAACCCTCCATGTATGATGGCCCAGGGAGGCTGGACTTCACTTGTTCTAAAAATGGCAGGGCTGTAGTTGAGAAGGGTATATATAGCTAGACTTACTGCTTTCCTGGTACATTCACTTCTGCATTTGACAAATGTAAGCTACTTTTCTTTAATAAAACCACAAAAGCCTGTATTTTTTAGGTATTTCTCTGAATGTGTGAAGTGTCCTCTCTCAAACTTATCTGTGTAGTGAGAATTACTCTAACAAATAGAAAACAAGCTTTATGCAAAAGAGCCATAAAAAAAAAAAAAAGGTAGGAGGCACTACTTTATCCACTGGATTCTGCCTATATTCTGTCAGGATCAAGTAACATTAAAAGAAATTAAACTTAACAGTGAAATGAAAGATCAAATCTCAGACTTACTTACCAAACTGCATGCCCCAATCTCCAAGGTAATTTATTCTGGTTACTTGATGTCCTAATGCTTCTTCGAGATTTGCTATAAAATTTCCTAGTAATCAACAAAATAGTTTCTCATTCTTGCTATCCATTTTGGCATAAGAACCATGTGCTTCTCTATTATCAAAGTGTAACACTGAAAATTTTTTTTGACAAAATTTACCAACTCGATTTTTTTTACTAAAATATTCATTATGGCATTTTCATCTTCATTAGGAAAGGGAGTAGAGAATTATTTTGGGGGCAGTTAGTTATTCCAAAGAATCTCACAATTTTCACAAGAACAGTATTTTCAGCAACATCCATGGGAGTTGGGAATACAAGTTAGAATAACAATTTCAAAGACAGAAAAGAACAGAATCTCAGTAATTAACAAGAAATAATTTGGCTAAGCCTTAAAGAGCCTGAGCCATACTGTGTCTTTTCTTGATAGCTCAACTCTTCCTTCTTTGAATCACTTAAGTCTATCTCCTCATGCCTGCTCCCTAAGAGTACCAGGGAGTTCAAGAACTTCATCTTCTTATACTGCTGACACTGGTTTGACATTCAGCATCCACTCCACTCTCCTAGTGTGCCCTCCCCTGCTGCAGAGGCTGGAAACCTAAAAATTCCATTTCTCAGAAGCTCCTGCAGTTAGGGTTTCAGGAGTCATTTACGTTTGGGCATTCAGATACACTGTGCATGAGACTTAGAAGGCAGAAATGAAGTGAAAGGGGGAGCTACTTCTATTTTTTCCTGATAAGCATAGCTGTGGAGTGTGGAGGCTTTTTTTTTTTTTTTTTTTTTTGGTGGCATCACTAGTAGAGAGCACAGTATCCTGTCATATGACTTCCACGGGAACTGAAAGGATACGGGGCTGCCTTTTTTGCTAATATGAATTCTGACAGGTCTAATGGCAGCTTCCTGTGACTGGGGTAGCATGGTTGCCACAGGAAGGGACTGCAGAAAAGGCAGAAGCTCTCTTCATGACCAAGCTCTATGGTACGATTTTGGGAGTCATTTAGGTTACTTAATCCAAAACTTCTTCAGCACTTCCAACAACTTTGCAAACTATTCAGTATCCTGTAATAAATCCTTGCCTGCTTTTCCAACAGTGGATTTAGTTTTCTGCAAATAATCCTTCACCAATATGCATATCTGACTTAAATTACAACAGCTACTTTTCTAGCTTCCCTACTTTTAGACTTTCGCAGTCTACATAAGTAGTTCCAACAGCAACCTTCTTCAGCTGCTACTCAAACTATATTCCTATTTTTAATTAATTTTTAAATTAGCAACTTATTATCCTACAAATGACACAAACCTAGGCTTTTGGAATGATTTTGGAAAATTTACTTTTGGCATATGAGTTTCCATAGACCACAGTACACAGGTTTAACAAATAGGACTGTTGTGAAATTAACTGAACTAATACATGAAAACTTCAGACATGGTAAATGAATTCCCAGTATTATCTCTTCCTGGTCCAAAATTTTCCTTAACAACTTTCAAACAACTTTACTATGCTCTGTCCATCATTTATTTTTGGCCTGAGTAGGTAGCTTTTCATATATAGTATATTTTTTATATTCTTTTTAAAATCAAGTCCTGTCATTTTCTCTCTTAAAATGCCCCACAAGATCTTTCCAACAATGACAGGTGACTCCAGTTCATTAATGATCCTTGCCACAAAGTAAGGGCTGCTTCAACTCTTAAAAGTATTCAAATGACAGGTTAAATGACTCTCCCTCAAGCATGTAATAGATTTGCATACCAGAAGTTACACTGGATGAGAAACTTCAAAGTCTCTTTCAATTCTAACTGCAGTTTCAAATTGGGCTACTGCATCACATCATGTTTTAAATAAATGAAAATCTTAGCATATACATCTACACTGAAGCATTACAACTATGAAGTACAATAGCAATCTTTCTTAGAAGAGTCTTATTTCAATTTCCACTCTTGAATGCTCCAGTTAGTACTCAAATGATTGAGACTGAGCTGCTTTTTTAATTGAGATATAATTAATATATAACACCGTTTCTTTTTTTAAAACAAAGTATATGAACCAAAAACCTGGGGGGATTATTATCATCCCCATGTAACTATCTTCATTTTGCATCTTTCAGATCTTCTTTATATGCATACATATTTTTAAAAAGTTAAAATTATTAACAAACCTAACAGTTAAAATCAGTTTAAGTTAACCTTTTGGTTTTGAAACGATTTTTTTTTTTACTTCTAAACCAATTTTTCCCATTTTATGTAATATTTAATTAGCATCAAGCTCATATAAATTTGAACTTTGTTTTTTGTCTTATTGTTATTTAAGCATTAAACCATTAGAATGCATTATAAAATACTGCCCCAAAGTCGTGTTTCGTATGAAACTAATGACACTTACCTATGATGGTAGAACGCAAATGTCCAACATGAAATTTTTTGGCAACGTTGGGTGAACTGCAAGTAATTCCAAAAGTTATATTTCTGTTCTAAGAACAAGAGTTCTAAAATCAACTAGGTCATGCCTCCACAGTTTAACACAATTGGGGATTAAGGCCTTTGGTAATTTAGGGCAAAGATAAGTGAAAAATTAGAAATTTAGAGCAATGATAAATTAGAACTCAGAAAGAATCATCCTTAGTGAAATTGATCCTGTCACTCATGAGGTAGTACCATACACAGAGAATGGCACACTTAGGAAGCAGATACATTTAAGGATTGATAAAAAGGATGAAGAAATTAAGAGATATTTTTCTGACACAAAAACAATGCAGATTATTAGGAATTAAACTTTGTGTACTAGATGTAAACCCTTTATCCTCTAAAAAATTATTGACCCCAAAGAAATTTTGTTTACATTGGGTATTATCTATCAAAAATTGTAATCGATAATTTGACAACAGCAAATGTTTCTAGAGCACTCACTACCTGACAGGCACAGTTTCATGCAATTTACATACATTAACCCATTTAATACTCATAAGAGTTGTGAGCTAAGGTGCCCTCATCTCTTACTTTACAGATAAGGGGACTAAAGCAACATGGAAAAAGGATAATGAAGCAAATATGGCAATATCTTGACGACTTTTGAATCTGGGTGAAAAGGATATGGGACTTAATTATACTGTTATGTTCTGCATATGTCCGAAAATTTAACACAGGTTTCTCAATATTAGAAAATAATGTTAACTTGAACACAGCTAGATAAAAGTAGTAAAATGAGAACTTAATTTGATCTATTTCTAAAGACTTATATAAAGGATATTATAATTTAAATACTTGATGCTATATTAATATGTGCACAATTGTGAAATTATGACACTACAAGAATGCTCATTTAATCATTATTAAGGAAGAAAGCAAATGTCCTTCTATAGGTTAAAAAACAAGGAATCTTCCACTTCCCACCAAGACAGAATAATAAGGATGGGATTTACCCTTCTGCCTTAAACAACCATAAAACCAGAAAAATTTATGAAACACTAGTTTTATAAACTGGATGGTGAAGGACTGTGATCCCTGAAAGAATGAGAACAAACAAGTTTACCCCTAGCAAATTAAATAGCAAATCTGTGAGCTGAAGCAGAGAAATCTATAGCGTGGAATGTATTAGAAAAGAAGAAAGGTTTCAAACCAGTAAGTAACCTAAGGTTCTCCTTTAAGAAACTAGAAAAGGAGGACCAAAGTAAGCAGAATAAAGTAGATTTTATTTTTTAATTTAAATTATTCATGGTAACAGATGTTTTTATTTAAATTCAATCAGCCAACATATAGTACATCATTAGTCTCAGATGTAGGGTTCAACAATTTATCAGCTGTGTGTAACACTCAGTGCTCATTATTTCACATACCCTCTTTAATGCTCATCACCCAATTACCCCATCCTCTCCATCTACCTCCCCTCCATCAACCCTCAGTTTGTTCCCTAGTTAAGAGTCCCTTACGGTTTTTCTCTCTCTGATAACTTCCTGTTCAGTTTTCCCCTCTCTTCCCCTATGATCCTCTGTGCTGTTTCCTACAAAGTTGTTTTTAAAAAAATGACAATAAAATACTATGAAATAAAAATAATAAGGCAGCTGAGAGACACTGAGGAGAGAGAGAGATGCCTGGCCAGCCCTCAGGTAAGCTGCCAGACAAGTAAATGAGTCACCTGGATTTCTAGCCCCAGTACAGTCTCTACATGACCAGAACTACAAATGACAACATGCAAGTCAAAGAACCACTGCGTTAAGCCATCCATGATTTCAAGATCTACAGGGTCATGAACATTAAAATGGTTGTCTCAAGACACTAGTCATGAGTTGATACACTTTTCCTTAAAGAATCAGACAGTAAATATTTTAGGCTTGTGGGCCACCTGATCTCTCTCAACTGTTCCATTCAATTCTACTCAACTGCCACTGTAGTATGAGAAAGCAGCCACTGTAGTCAACATGTAAATGAAAGTGCAAGCCTAGTTCCAATAAAACTTTATTTACAAAAACATATGGCAGGTTGGATTTTGCCCATGGGCTGAAATTTGCCAATTCCTGTATTAAATGTTAGAGTAGCTTGTTATACAACTTTCTTTGAGGGAAAAGAGCAGGCAACTTTCTTTGAGGGATGGCCTTCATGCAATTCCTCTCTGGTGTGAAGATGACCTCATGAAGTCCCTCTCCTCTCTGTGATACAACTAATGTTTAAACTCAACTTAAAATATGATTGGGGTGTAATGGTAGTATAAGATTTATCCATAATATCTGTTTACTCCATAGGAGAATGAGTTTACTCCCATCAGTCCTTACCATAAACAAGTTTACTGAATCTCAGAGAGTCTGTCTTTTTTGAGAGTGGCAGAGACAGTACAAGTGAGGAATATATAAAACCTTCTCTTGCCTCTGGTTATCTGGGTGCTGACCATAACTAAGTCTGTTACACAATAAGTCATAATAAAGAATTAGGAAATCTGAAATAATTCCCTCATCATTTTTTTTAATTCTCCATGGGAATATATAGTTAAGAAAATAAAAGGGTACAGCATGTTCTAATTTTCCAAGTGGGAAAACAGTTCATCAAGACTTGTTCACTTTTAGGAAGGCAAATAAAATTACAATACAGTATCTCTGATCTTTTCCATGAGCTGTCAACTGGTTAGCTATACTCTGAAAGTACTCCCTTTCTGTTTTGGTTGCCTAAAAACAGCTCAAAAATTAGACAGATATGCTGACAGTGCAACATGAAGTAATGAGGATTATTTACAGGCATATTAAAACTTAAAACTAGTTTTCTGTAATTTAAAAAATATACATTACAAATACTACAAAGGCTTTGTTCTCTGGTAATCACATTACTTTAAAATTCTTAATATGGTAGTAACCATTACCTCGGCTTTAAGAGTCTACAAAGATGGAATAAGTACTTCTTCTAAAAAAAAAAGTTAACTATTAAATACTTAATTAAAAAAAAACCATAATCACCAGACTTTTTTTTATTAGAGTCTAAAATTTTTATTCATGGTACAGTGATCAGTTCACTGTAGTATTAAGAAAATAATATAATCTCACTGGTTTTCTGTTTTTCCATGTGTTATGTCCTGAGGCCCCAGATGATAATGGTAAAACACTTACCTGCCCAGCTACCTTGACTAACCAACACATAAAATGAGTAGGCACTCACCTGAATTCAACCACGATCTTCTTCTGGGGAAGACCAGAGAAAAGCTCGCTTTTGAATCCATATTTTGAGCCATCATTGATTACTTGTTGTAGTACTGTCTGAAAAGTAAAACACATGGAATTTACAGAATTTACATGGAATTTACAGAAAAAAAATTGCGATTTTCTTAATTACTTCATTTACTCATTCTAATTTACAGAACTCAGAATTTCACAGCATTGTCAGCACCATGTTCAAATGCTAGTCAAAACAGTAATAACCAGAACTAACATCTATGGGGGCTCTGTCCCCTTTTTATACATCACCTATATTCATTCTTACAGGAACCAATGATAGAGATATTATACAGATAAAGAAACTAAAGTTTAGGGAGGTTAAATAACTGTTGAAAGTCCCACAGCAAATAGTAACACCAAAACCAGAAGGAGCATCTAATACTTATTGAATGCGTACTATATGCTGGGCACTGTTCTGAGCATTTCCTATGTATTAACTCACTTATTCCTCACAACAACCCTAGGAGATAAGTATTTATTTTTTATGAATGAGGAAAGAGAAGCACAGAGAAGTTAACTTTCTCACCATCATACTCTATTAGGCTACACGGCAAAACCTTTTTCACGCCATAGCTAATGTGTTAACTACTGCATGCCACTGCTACTTTTGTATTACTAAGGATCACAAGAAATGGTAGAAAACAAATACAAAATTTTAATTCAAATGCCTACTGGCTACATAAACAAAAAACAAGGAAAACTAACAGAAACAACCAAAACATATTCCAGGTTCATTTCTAGAAATGTACATAGGTTATATGGTTCACAAAATTCATACTTTGTTTTTTGCTAATGGTGTGATGTGTTTATTTATAAATGTATTTATTTTTTAGTTTAGGGGTTTGAATTTACTGTAATGGGCTATTTACTCTTACATTGGTTTTACTTCACAAACTGGATTCTGAGTCCTAAATACATAGTTTACGATGTGAAGAATTTTACTATCTTAAGAGTTTATTAAGATGCTCACTTAATGGAAAAGACAGACAAAGCAGCAGGAGGTAGCAAAGCAATACTTTTAAGAAGCATACAAAATGCTCGGTTAAAGTACAGATGCTTTTATGTTATCTTTAAGCCTCACAATCTTAAAAATGGACATTTCCCATTTAATAGATGTAAAAACCAAGGTTCAGAAACAGTATGTAGTTGTACAAGGACAGAAGAAATAATATTCCTTTCACTCACACTATATAGTAAGACACAGAGAGAAAGGATTAACATATAGAGACATTAAAGAGAACAGTGCCTGTTATACCTCAGGGGCCCATTAAATGTTAATTATTTACTCCAAGACAATAGCTGACAAGGCTGCAAGTAGGGAGGTAAATATTAGTGAGGAGGAATTCAGAGTCAGATTATTCTAAAGTTAACATTCTACCCATCCATGTCACTTTCCACCCCTTTATATGTAATGGATGGTAGACTCCACAAAAGGCAATCATGGGAAGTTAAGCTCTCCCTGAAAAAAATGACCCTTAGTTCATTGATATTTCTCTAGCACAAACAAAAAAAGCAACTTTAATGAAGGACTATCTTACATGCCCCACTTCTAAACCTTCCATTGACAATCTGATCCCTCTGCTACCTAGAGCTTCCTTTTCTACTATTCACTCTAAGGGCTCTCAAAATTAGAATTAGAAATGCCACACCTGGGGCCCCTGGGTGGTTCAGTCAGTTAAGTGTCTGCCTTCAGGCCAGGTCACGATCTCAGGGATTTGGGATGGAGCCCCAAATCGGGCTCGTGCTAGGTGGGGAGCCTGCTTCTCCCTCTCCTCTCCGTTTGCCCCTCCTCCCTCATTGTGCTTTTTCTCTCTCTTAAATGAATAAATAAAATCTTAAAAAAAAAAAAAGAATGCCACACCTAACTGAATGCTTAAATTGTTTAATGCAGTACTACTTTTATGAGTACTTTTTTTGTAAAATAAAAAAAAATATTAAACGAATAAGGCAAAAGTCTAGAGTCCCTTTTGATCATCCACCCTAACCCGCCCTCCCCAGGGCGACTACTTTTCTAACATCAGCTTAGCTGATGACTACTCCTCTCCTTGCAACCACTGACCCTCCTTGGTTTTAAGGGTATTAAGCTCTACTGACTTCTACTTCTTAGTTTCCTTTGCAGGCTCCTTTTCCACTGCCTGCGGCCCTACTCCCTACGCTGTGCTTCCTTCTTGCTTCTAGCTCCTTACTTCATACGTCCCCTAGGTATAAAGTCCTAAGACTTCAACTACTACTTACCTAATAAAATCTTTCCTGTGCCACAGACTGGTATGTCCAACTCCAAGATCTGAAGTGCCTGAGATGTGCAATGGAATATACTCCTCTTTCTTCTGCATTCTCCATCTACATGAACTTTACCACCTCACCCAGCTAACCAAGTCAAAGACCCGAGAGTACCTAAGATTTACCCTTTTCCCTCAACCTTCACAATCAACCACCTATTAATCACCAAATCCTGCACCTGCCACTGCCTATCGTTATAGTTATCCCCTCTGTCCTGTTTAGACCCTCATCATCCATCAGCTATACCACTACAAAAACTACAACAAAACAATAATACATAACTATCTCCTTATATAACATGTAAATTTAATTAGATCTATGTTCTACTTAAACCCTTCAATAATTCCAAGACATCTAAAAGATTTTATCAATTTCTGGTTTTTTACTTTACATGCATTTCGCCTTTGTTTCATAATTTTAAGAAAACTGGTTTGTTAAATGGCACATTATAACATCCATAAAAACCATAAGGTAGAAGTGTTAGGGTCTTATTTTTTGGTAATAAATATATAATATTAAAATGAGGTGAATTTTATTAGTGTAATACTAAAAAATTATCAAGCATACCACCTGTGGTACACATAACACACCATGGAAAATGATGACAGAGGAAAAAGCTGAAATTCTAACGCAGGGCATATAAGGCCCTTCACACTATATAATTTCATACCCTCCCCCATGCCATCCTATGTGTGAACCATACTCTATCACCACTGATTTCCAGACAATGCCATGTTCTTGACCTTCTGTACTCTGGCCCAGGCTATCTTCTCTGCCTGAATGCCTGCATTTATATCTCCCAGATATAGCTGTCTTTTTTTTTTTTTTAAAGATTTAAAAAAATTTTTTTTGTTTTTAAGTAATGTCTATACCCGGGTGTCTGGGTGGCTCAGTCAGTTGAGTGTCTGCCTTCGGCTCAGGTCATGATCCCGGGGTCCTGGGATCGCACCGCACGTCACTGCCGGCTCAGTGGGAGTCTGTTTCTCCCTCTCCCTCTCCTACTGTTTTTCTCTCTCTCTGTATCAAATAAATAAAATCTTTATTTTAAAAAAAAAAAAAAGACTGTCTACACCAAACATGAGGCTTGAATCCACAACCGTGATTTTAAGAGTGGCATCCACTTTTGCCCAGTTGAAGATTACCTTTTCACTCCTCAAGTTAGACTTATGTGTACCTTTCTTTACATTGGAGTGCAGCTTACACATGCCTCCACTGTATCATGCATCACATTATCATATCCACTACACATTACACTGATATTTTTTATGCTTTTTAGATCATAAGCTCCTTGAGGGCAGAACACATGCCACTTTAACTTTAGATTTCAGTAATATAGTCCGTGGCAAATAATAAACAGAAAGTTTATTAAATTAGTGGCAAAGTTTTAAACTATAGAATGACAGTGAGCTAGTAAAGTTCCTTGATATTCTGAGAGATGAATAAGCTAGAGGTCCATCTACTTATTGTTAAGTACATTAAAATGTAAGATGCTCTTATAAGAACTTCTACAGAAGCTACTACTACCTGTTTGTTTTTTGGTCAATACTTGAAAAGAGTTTAATCATTCATTCCTTCCATGTGCGCAGCCACTTGGCACAACATGAATGTGTCTATTGCCTTCTGGCTTAATCTCAGCAAAATAATGAGCAGAATCAGAGCCATTTAAATTAGTATCTCTTTTTCTTTTTTTTCCTTAAGTTTTTTTAATAAAGCATGCAAAGTTGAATTTGGCAAATGAAAAAATACAGGTATACATGTAAAATAAAAATGATGTTATCCATTGTGTACTTTTAAGGCACAACTAAAAAAAGAGGATTTTGTTTGCCTTCTTCCTTTTTAGTTAAACTCATATTTTCTTTTTTTCTCCCCTTAAATGAATTAACTATTATTTTAAATTACTCTTTTTTTTTTGACAGAGATCACAAGTAGGCAGAGAGGCAGGCAGAGAGAGAGAGAGGAAGAAGCAGGCTCCCCGCAGAGCAGAGCCCGATGCGGGGCTCGATCCCAGGACCCTGGGATCATGACCTGAGCCGAAGGAAGAGGCTTTAACCCATTGAGCCACCCAGGTGCCCCTTAAATTACTTTTGAAAGTCATCTGTAAGCTACTGACAGGCAGAAGCTTGACACCAAACTGACAGCTCTTCACGATGTATGAATTGGTCATACCACCTTATGGTTTTGAAAAATTCATTATCTAGTTCCAATGATTTGGCAGTTCCTACTGTCTTTAATTTCACATTCTAGTCTCCTATATTTGAGGATGATTTACACGAAGACATTATACGGCCGCAGTTAGTGATCCAAACTTAAGCTAACATTTAATCATTTCCTGGGGCTGCCAGTGTTAATTCAATTGCAATGCGTAAACAGACATGTTTTATGCAAGGCTAAGTTTGTACATGTGTAAGCAATGACAAATTCATAATTCCCTGCTTGAAAAGTAAGTTTTGGACACAGGTCACTGGCTACATGTCAATCTTGATGACTTTAATATGTATAAATATGTATTAATAACAGTCCCAAAGGGTTGAATTTTTTTCCTGATATGATCTGAAAAATTCATTATACATGCAAATGACCATTCTTTAAAACCTGAAAATAATGGAGCCAGATGTAGAAGAATTTAAGTTTTGAGCAAACAAGACTTAGCATTAAAAAACTGTAACTTTTAACCAGGCACATTCAATATTCCTTTTTCTGACTATGGGTGTTCACTAGTTTAGGATGTATGAGCAGGGCTACTGTGAGCAATCTGCTTGTTCCTTTAATAAAAATCACACTAAGATCCAGGCATTCAAGGCTACAGTGAGGGAGGATTTCCAGGTGATAAAGAGTAGCTAGACCTCAAAGCCCTAGATCTTGTCTCTGTGTTGTCAACTGAGAAGGATCTGGGAATACTTTTAATAAGCAAGCTAGTGTGCATTCTTAAATCAGAGAAAATCTCATAGCTTGTTCACTGTAATAATAAAGCATGAAAATTCGTGGCCACTGACATTTTAAAAGAAGTAAACACATGCCTTGCTTGATATATAAAACACATCTCTTTCAGTCAAGCTGGCTGTAAAGCAACATCATCTACTAGTACATTTTCCCATCTCAGGGAAAATAAAAGAGGTAAAATACTGCTGCCTATGAATTAGACTGGAGTTTGGTGGGCACTGTGGGGAGCTGCATTTCTGCTTCTATAAAAATCGAGACTGTTGGGGCGCCTGGGTGGCTCAGTGGGTTAAAGCCTCTGCCTTCAGCTCGGGTCATGATCCTGGGGTCCTGGAATCGAGCCCCGCATCGGGCTCTCTGCTCAGCGGGGAGCCTGCTTCCCCCTCTCTCTGTCTGCCTCTCTGCCTACTTGTGATCTCTCTCTCTCTGTCAAATAAATAAATAAAATCTTTGAAAAAAAAAAAATTGAGACTGTTGGGGCACCTGGGTGGCTCAGTCAGTTAAGTGCCTGATTTTGGTTCAGGTCATGATCTCAGAGTTTTGGGGTCCTCCTCCCACTCATGCCCTCTAACAAATAAATAAAATATTATCTCTAATAAATAACTATTTATCTATTTACCATTTATTTGAGAGAGAGAGTGTTCAAGTGCATGGGAGCACAGGGAGGGGGAGGGGCAGAGGGAAAGGGAAAAGCAGGCTCTCCACTGAGTAGGGAGCCCAACATGGGGCTTGATTCCTGGGCCCTGGGATCATGACCTGAGCTGAAAGCATATGCTTAACTGACTGAGCCACGTAGGTGCCCCAATAAATAAAATCTTAAAAAAATATACTTAGGATCATAATCGGAAGAAAGAGTACTAATTTAGAAACGGTAAATTAGACTCAATGGTTTACTAAATTGACATGAAATGTTACCAACCAAGAGCCTAACAGACTGCAGACACTTTTCAACAAGCTCAAAACAAATTTCCTTTTTGTCCTTGTGACTGATTTTGGTTAATTATCTCTCCCTGAAGTACGAAGGATAAAAAGATAAAAGAAAAAAATTCAAGGATCTAGAGGCAAACATATTAACACGAATTCTCCCTTGGAAGACTGATAAGGCAGATGGGCAAATGTCTATAATCTATATAATCTTGGTGAGAAATTATATTAGAAATTTTGGTTTTATAGTAGTTTTCAATTCAAGACTGCAGCATTTCTAAGCCTGAGCAACTCAAAACCGGTATTTCTTAAAAAACAAAACAAAACAAAGTAACAGCCTAAAGCATGCATTATGATAAATTTTCAATTTCAACTGAGATGAAACTCTCAACGAAAGATCTCATACCACTGCCTATCCAGGATTACCAGTCCTCCAGTCTTAAATGAGACCCAGTCCCTTTATGTCATTTCTCCAACTCTTCCAGGCCATCCTGAGTTTTCTGATCTTTCTTATGCTTATTGTATCAATCCAACTTTTGTTTTAATACTTGTTTTATTAAAAGAATAAGCTCTCTTATAGTTTCATCTGTATAAATCTCATGCTACCAACAGATTACAGACTACCAGAGAGCCAAAACGAGCAGTACTTTTTGGGCATTCAATATAGAGTCCATTAATTTATTCAATAATAGTTATCTCACACCTACTGCATGCCAGGCACTGTGCTAGGAACTGCAGATCCAACAGAGAGAAAAACAGATGCTATAAGCCCTAACAGAAATTAGTTTAAAGGGCAAGAGGCATTAATCAAATAAAAAGATGTATAATACCAACTATGATAAGTTCTGCAAAGGAGAGCTACCCACTGATGGTAGAGCACATAAACGAAGGGGACAGAAAGGCACAGCCCAGGAAATATCAAGAACTGAAGGGTAAGCAGGAGTTAACTTGGGGTGGCACTCCAGGAAGGAGAATCAGAATGTGTAAGGTTTTGAGGCAAGAGGAGGTGACCTTTAAGAACTGGGGGAAAACCACTGTAGCTAAATCAGACTGAGTAACGGTGCATAGCTGGAACATAATCCATTCTTACCTTTGTTAACAGTTCTCTGTTAATTTTGAAATTTACAGTCCCTTGACCAGTGCTGATTTCGCTCACCACTGTATCACATTTTAGCTGTAAAGATTAAAAAAAAAAAATCAAGTAAAATTAAATATGTTATAAAACAAGTGTAATGATATTTGTAGTTTTAATACTATCACTTTGGAGTCCAAACGCAGCGGGTGCATCATATCTCTGTCATTATATCCAGACCTGGGCCTTAGCCAATCTGTTCAATTCTATCACTTGACAAGTTTCCTCCTTTTCTAGCCTAGAATACTACTCTATCTTCAGAATCTCTTCTTCTTTCCCATTCTTTCACTTCAAATTCTCCACCTCACATGGAAGGAAGCCAGTATCACTTCACCCCCTACCTGATGTGCCCTGACACGCAGTGAACTCTTTTTATCTCACCCACCTTGCAGAGAGCCACAGGACATTTCATTCTGTCAGGCCCTACGCCGCCAGCACTTGTACCCACACAAAAAATAGTATCATTTAAATACTTGGTCTTCATTGAATATACCTTAAAATTTTAACCAACTAGATTTCTAAGCACCTGATATACCCATGAAACTTGAAGAGATACCTGTTTTCACTGAGGAATCACTAGTCTTTATATTTGAGACTCACAGGATATGGGGGAAGGAACTAAATACTGTAATCAGAACAATTCTACTCCTCGTGTACTTCCTGATAAAAATCTAGGTTGATTTTCTGATCAAATAAATAGTTACTCAGCTACCAAAGCTCTTTGATTATACTCATTCTTTACACATCTTTTTCTATGATAGTGACTTTCATTGTTCCAATCCTCCAGTGTGCCCAGAAGCCTCTGTGTCACATGTAATAACCATATTTTAAAAACCCTGTTTTTTATGGTATTACATTAATAATTTAGATTTGGTCATTCTCTACAATCCTTTCAATTCCCCTTTTAGATACCAAACCCAACAGAGAAATTAGAAATGAATGAGTTTATTAAATTATCTAGCCACTTCTCTGTAATCATGATTCTATTTACATCTAATCATTTTTTCTCATATTTTAATGCTCATCTTCTCAGACACTCATCTTAAAAATTGCAACCCACTGCTCTAATTTATCAAGCTTGTTCTCTTAAATTCAGAAGTCCATCCAGCTTCAATCTGTAAATTTAATTAACACGTCAGTCCTCCTGTAAGTAGTTAATCAAAAAATTGAACAATGTCAGCTCAAGAGGAATGCTTTATAGCTAATTTGAAAAATCATCTTAACCTTATTGCACATGGCTAAAATGAATTTAAATTGTATTTTCCAAGGTGCCTTGAACAAAAAAAACACTATTAAATTCATTATTATGCCTGAGATAGCCTGCAGAGTTTTTTCTTCTTTACTAAGTTTGTTATAATGTCTAAAAAAGATAATAGTGCTGAAGTACCTTTTCTGCCAGTCTTGTGGCTTGAACTTGAATATCTGGTCTTGAATGGTCATTGTTGTTTTCCAATAGAGAATCCACAGAGAGCTGAAAATCAGCTACTTCTCTAAAGACAGAAAACAAAATAGGAAAAAGCTATAATATCTTAAAAACATTACTAGTGTAACAACAACAGTAACAACTAACCATTATGGATTCTTCAATACAATTTTATCAGAAGGAAAGGGTTTTGCTTTAAAAATATAAAGCAAAGAAATTAGAAATATCAACTTGTATTTTTTTAGAACTTTATCTTCTAAAGTTCTTCTTCTTCTATTCCTCTTCTAATACCTAACTGTAACTTTATTATATCTCTGTGAGATAGGTAGTTCAAAGTGTAATAAAAAATTTAACTGATGTATAAACATCTAGGTAATTACCTAGCTAGAACATCTTTTGACATTTAATAAGGAACTAGAGAGGCGCCTGGGTGGCTGAGCTGTTAAGTGGCTGCCTTCGGCTCAGGTATGATCCTGGGGTCCTGGGATTGAGCCCCATGTCTGTCTCCCTGCTTGGTGGGAGGCTGCTTCTCCCTCTCCCTCTTCCCCTGCTTGTGGTAACACTTGCTGTGTCTGCCAAATAAATAAATAAATCTTTAAAAGAAAAAAAAAAGGGAACTAGAAAATGAGATTCCATGGGCACAGTAAGTGATTAAACCACTGTTTAATCCACTGCCACCGAAACAAAAGGACCTATTTTAGAGGGGGTACAAATGACTTCATTTTTATCACTCTTGACATTCAGGGATATGCCTAAAATATCTTATGATATCTGTTTTACATCACATTAAGCCACCTGGTCAACAAAGACCATTATGAATTTTCTTGAGCCTTGAGGCACATGGGTGGCTCAGTCAGCTGGGTGTCTGGCTCTTGATTCTGGCTCAGGTCATGATATCAGGGTTGTGGGACTGAGTCCAGTGTCAGCTCTGTGCTAGACATGGAGACTGCTTGGGATTCTCCTCTCCTTTTCTCTCTGCGCCCTCCCTCACCCCTGCCACCCCACTCATGTATTCACTCTCAAAAAAAAAATATATATATATATATATATATATATAGAGAGAGAGAGAGAGAGAAGAAAAAAATACTTTTCTTGAGATCCTTCCCAATATTTATTCTCTATAAACCAAAGGTATAGTGAAATATAGTATCATTAAAGTAGAACTGCCCAAAGGAGCTCCAGGCAGGTAAAGAAAATCTTTTTCAAAAGATGGACCAAGGGGCACCTGGGTGGCTCAGTCGGTTAAGCAGCTGTCTTGGGTTCAGGTCATGATCCCAGGGTCCTGAGATGGAGCCCAGCATCGGGCTCCCTGCTCAGTGGAGAGCCTGCTTTTCCCTCTCCCTGCTGCTCTATCTATGCTCTCTAGTTCTCTGTCAAATCAATCAATCAATCAATCAACCTTAAAAAAAAAAAAAAGATGGGCCAAGATTGTTTAGCTTATTAAAGGCCCCTGATGCATAAAATAAAAAGCAGGGATTTTCATTATTATTTTATTATTATGCAAAATGCCATTTATAGATTTTATGAAATAGGTAAATGGCTTCAAATATAACCTTAATAGATGTGTAATTACAAGATCCCCTTGGTCTGTGGTTGCCTTTGTTCTTAGAACTCAATGTAAAGTAAGCTGCAGCAGGACACTTTAAAGATGCTTTCTTTCAACAAGGCCAAATGTAGCCTTTCTCTTCCTCTTCCACTTACTCTTTGTCTATTCCTGGAACAATAATCTTCATCCTACCCTCTCCTGAAATCCTGACAAAGTTAAGGAGACAAAATATTCGGACATAATGGTAATGATAATTATATCTTCCCAAAGCTTTGGGCTTAAATGCCTACTATGTAGCTAATTTCTTGCCATTATTAATTAACTGAGAGGGCATTTTATCCAAGTACATATTTTTTTTTACCCAAATGGTAAAGAATCATCAGTCAGAAGGACCAATCTCATAAAAGATATCTTCCTGTATCCAAGAAAGGAACTAAGGGTTATATGTTTTCTATCACCAGGCGTTCTCAAATGGAATCAAACAAAAAAACCTGAAAACCACAAAAAACCCTAGTAGGTAAATATAGCACTAGAGTTTTCAAGCATCAGATAGTGTATAATCTCTAAAATCCCTTCAAAAACCCTGAAAAAAAAATTTTTTTTTTGAGTGAATGAGAGAGAGAGAGAGAAGCAGGGGGAGGGGCAGACGGAGAGGGAGAAGCAGACTCTCTGCTGAGCAGGGACTCTGGGATCACGACTGGAGCTGAAGGCAGATGCCCAACTGACTGAGCCACCAAGGCACCCCCCAAAACCTTGAAATTTTAACTGCAATCTTAGTCCTTTTATTTGCTGTCACAGAATTAAATTTTGACCTTGTTCCTAATTTTCCTTAAAGACTTTGCCATAATTATCATTAATAGCATAAACATCAAACACCATAAGAGTACTAATTTAATGTGCCATGTCAAAGTAGGTAAAATACAGATTTTATTTCACTATTTAAGTGAATGGGAGTAACAGGTTACAACATATTTTATGGTTTATTTCAAGGTCTATTCTGTAAATTGAAGAACAACAATTTTTTTTTTTTTTTTTTTTTTTGCATAGTGACAAAGTCAGCAACATTTTAAGTTGTTACAAATACTTAACTCTTTTCTGGAAATTGGAACTGCAGATATTGACTTGATCAAGTTTTCTGGTGGAAGATCCAACACTCTGGAAAGCTGAACATTACAAAAAAAAGGCAAGATTGTTAATAATTTGTACCAGATTCAACGCAATACTACTCAACAAAAAGAATATTCAGATACTTAACTTAAATAAGCCTCAAATGCACTATGCTAAGTGACAAAAACCCAACTCTGTTAACAGACTATATAGTATATGATTTTATTTACCTGACATTCTGGAAAACCCAAAACTATGAGAGAGAGAGAGAATCTTAAGCAGGCTCCAACTTGGTGCAGAGTCCCACACAGGGATGGATCTCACGACCCTAAGATCATGACCTGAACTGAAATGAAAAGTCAGATGCCCTATCAACTAAGCCACCCAGGTGCCCCTTAGTATATGTTGATTTTTGAATTCATGTCTCAGAGTACAGTCTTCATTTTTAAATTCTAGTCATTGGAAACTGCATTACAAAAGCCTCTACAAAAAAGGTTATTTCCTTAGGCCATTTTCCTAGGAGTGGATAAACATTTCCACCACATTTATAGAATAAAGGCTGTAACAGTTCATGTTTATATTACAAAGAGTTCTTGCCAATATAGGTAGACCAATAAGAGAGGTTCTATTAAAATTTCTTTTAGAAAAAAGAAAAAAATGATTCAAATTCCAGGTCCACTTTTACTAGCTATAAGTCCAAGGGAAAGCCATCTTACATAAATGAGCTTAAGCTTTCACATATGAAAAATGGGGATAATCTATTAAACTAGGGTTCTCAGACACCTCGTTGACTCAGTTGGTTAAGTGACTGCCTTCTGCTCAGATCATGATCCTGGAGTCCCAGGATTGAGTTCCTCATTCAGCTCCATGATCAGCAAGGAGTCTGCTTCTCCCTCTGACCCTCCCCACTCTGATGCTCTCTCTCATTCTCTCTCAATAAATAAATACAAACTCTTAAAAAAAAATAAACAAGGGTTCTTATAAGGATTAAGAAAAATGTGTCACTCAATAAGCATGTAATAAATATTATCTTCTTCCTTTAAAATTAAGGTTTTATTTTGGACATTGTAAGGGCCTACTTAGCCAGAGCGATTTCATCTCGGTTAAGCAGTGATATTGTTGTTTATGCAGTAAAACTTAAATTGACCCTGCCCCCTGCCCCCCCTCCAGGGGAATTTACTTAAAAGCAAGTCCGGGAAACCAGTAAAATCTGGTCGACCAGTCCCTGATAACAGAGCCCAAATACAAGGGTGGTTCAGGTCAGGTGGAGGTAAGAGAGCCCAAATACCAGGGATGAGTCGGGCCAGGTGGAGACATCCAATCAGTGGAGCGTGCATACTGTCTCCCTAGCTACCAAGGAATGTGGGCCCTGCCTTTTGGGCGCCAATTCTGACCAAGGTGATAGGCTAGTTCAAATAGCTACTATGGGGTGAATCGTAATTCAATTGGCCACCCGTGTGTGACCTAGCATGACTGTGCAGCTTTCTCTGTGTGTTGCAATCTCATTGGCCACCTGTGTGTGGCCAGGCTCAACCACATGGCCTTTGCTCTATAAAAATTAGTCTGTGAGGCAGGGAGTCGTCACTCTCTCTGTAAAAGGCGGCCCTGACCGGCAGGTTTGATTTTCGATGCTTGGTGCGAAATAAAGCTTTGCTTGTCCTTCGCTTTGTATCAGTCTCGCTCCTTTGGTCACGGACCCTAACAGACATAACGTCTCCCAAACTTACCATAACCACTAAGATTTTATGCCTATCTTAAATATAAAGTCTGCTGGAAAACAAAACAATACAAAACTTAGTTATATAGGTCAATTTTAAAGTTTTTCAGCTGACAAATAAGTTTTGAACTTCGGTAATAAAATGTTTACATCCAAATGAGCAACACACAAAAAATTCTGTTTCCAATATGAACTAAAAATTACTTAAAAATTGCTTATTTCTGGGGTGCTTGGGTGGCTCAGCGGGTTAAGTGCCAGCCAGTCTTTGGCTCGGGTCATGATCCCGGGGTCCCTGCCTGGTAGGGGAGTCTCCTCCTCTCTCCCCTTCAGCCACCCCAACCCCTTGTGCTCTCTCTCGCTCTCTCTCAAATAAATAAAATCTTCAAAAGAATTGCTTATTTCTTTTATTATATCTCAGTTGCTCCAAAAAAAGGCTCTGAGGGGAATTAACACATAAAAATAAAATGGAGGTATAAAATCATACCAGAAAACCCAAGGTCAAGATAGTTTCTATGCTTTTTGGCAACCAAGGTACAAAAAGGAATCTAACTATATAATATAGTGCTGTCTGGCAACAAACTTTTCCTAAAAGTAAATTCTAAGACCAAGTTATATTCACGAAAATTTAAATATCAAAATAGAAAATATCTTCAATAGCAGTTTCCCAAAGGCACAGAAACATATTTATATGATGTAAATTAGAAAACCAAAATAAAAAGACTGATGGAAAAGGAGAAATGGAGAATCACTGGTTACAAGGAGCAGAGAGTTTCAGTTTTACAAATGAAGAGTCTGGATAGGGTTGGTGGTGATGGTTGCATAGCCATGTTAGTGGACTTAACGCCACTGAACTGCACACTTAAAAATAGTTAAAATGGTAAATTTTGTGTTGTATGTATTTTCCCATAATTAAAAACAAAACAAATTTAAAAAACCTAAAAAGACTCTGGGATAAGTAGGGGAATGAAGCCTTCTTTACATTATCTCCCAACTCCCAACTTCCACCCATTATCAAATTAAAATGGAAAGGGTGGAAGAAAGAATAGAGAAAGGAAAGGAAGGTAGGTCATACATAGGCAGATTGGTTGGTTGGTTCTCCAGCAACAAACAGGATAGGCACAGTCCAAAGTTACAAACTTCAAAAGGGACAGCCAAGGAGACAAACCACAACTTGTGAAGAAGAATGGAGCAGCCTTGTTTGGCAAGCCTCTTAACTTGAATTAACAATTCTCATCAATACTCCAAGCTGAAGAGGAAAAAAATGAATCCCATTATTTTTTTCATCTGTGATTGGAGGGAGAGGCTACAGAGCTGTGGGAGAGAAGGAGTAAAACGGAGAAGTTAATTCTGTACTTTTCAGAAGTGAAGATTCTAGGGCAGCACACTAAAGTTCTCTCCAATGAAAACAGCAACACATTCCCCAATTAAATGGAGATCTCGGTACGGTTTTGTATGGGCAGTAAGAATCAGAGGAGGAACTTTTACAGGAAGGTGAAAAAATATCAGAGCTACCTAAGCAAAATTTAATATGTCAGGTCAGAGTTCAGGAATAATATATACACATGTCACCAGAACCTACCAGAGAGACAAGCGTGGAAAAACCTTAGAATTTATATTTTTGTAATCACAAAAGCAACGTGGACCAAGAACAAATGTCACATGGAGAGTGAAGTCGCCCACACAATGCGGGAACAAACAAAGTGTGGGCAGGACGGTCAAGCATGTGCAAGATGAAACACAGGCAAAACAAGCAGACAAACTGGAAGTGGGGGAGAGGAGAAGAGAGGGAAGGACAAAAGATCAAAGAGCTCTTGTCTAGAAAAATACAACCAAATGAATACAAAGGTATTCATCAAAAGTGCTTCAAGATTTGTGAACACAGTAAGAACTGAAAGAAAAAGATAAAAGGGAGTCTAAAAATTAAATAGACAAATTGATGATTAAACATTTTTATTATAGAATTCAGAAACATTCATAACTGAAAATAAATGACACAGAGGCCTATGATAATCAGAGAATACAGATTTTTAAAAAACATAAATTGAAAGCAATCAGAGAAAAAGAAATAAAATTGGGTATAAGATAATCCAACCTTATGATAACTGGTGTCCCTAAAGCAGAAAAAGAGCAGGAAAGCAAGCAGACAGGAAGATAGGTACAGTGGTTCTCCAGCAGTATATACCATAATGATAAAGAGAAAAAAACCAAAGCCACACTCTTCAAAAAGTGATAGCCAAGAAAACATGCAGAAGGTTCTAAAGAATGGAGCAGTCTTGTATAGAGCAGGGCCTCTTGGTCTCTCGTCACAAGGTATAGAGACGAAGGAACAAAAGCCAAGAAAAAGCATTCTTAGAGATCTCAGCTCCCCCAAAAGCAAGGCCTGAGAAAAGAACTTTGCGCAGGTAATTTATTTGGGAGGCAATTCCTGAGGGTTCAAGTGACAGACTGAGAAGCGTGAGAAGGAAGGAGGAAAAGTTAAGATTGTGCTGACAAGGTTACTGCTGTACGCCCTGGGGCTTAATTTTCCAAGCACACACAAGGTCTAATAAAATGGTCTATCCAAAAACAGGAAGCAAGGGCTTCCATTCCCCATGGACTGAGAGCTGTTCTTGAGGATGTTAACTGCCACATTTGAGCTGAGTATAGGCTGGAACCAGCAGGCTTTTAGACTAGATGAGGTGCTATTAGCAGTAAGTGACTGGAAGCACACGTGGTCACATAAGCAGCAGTGGGTACCAAAAGTGTGACCAAAGTGATGGGAGGGCCTAACAGTCAATAAAAGGGAAAATATCCCTGAAATAAGAGACCAAATTTAAATTGTGGCATACTGCTGCAATGACACCCAACAGTAAAATAAAAGAACTAGATCTCCATGCACAATTATGGATAGATCTTTTTTCTTTTAAAACTGAGCCTAAGAAACAAAAAACCCAAGTTGTAAAAGGATGATTACACTTTGACTACCACGCACATAAATTTTATTAACTTGTAAAAGAATACTATCTAGGGATACATTCATAGGTAGTGACATGCACAGATACAATGAACACAAAACCTCACACGGGAGGAAAGAGTTTGCAGCCAGGGATGGGTACCCAGAAGATTTTAATGGTAACAGTTGTTTAAACTGGGTGATGGGTACATAATAACTAATTTTCTCCATGATTAAATATTTTGTTAAAAAAAGAAAATCTGGGGTACCTGCGTGGCTCGGTCAAATGACGGTCTTTGGCTCAGGTCACGATCCTAGAGTCCCAGGATCAAGTCCCAAGTCAGGCTCCCTGCTCAGTGGGCAATCTGCTCCTCCCGATAACCCACCCCTCTCATGCTCTCTCTCAC